CCGCAGGCCTAGACTTTCCGGGAAAGGGAAAGCGCCTGCATCAATGTTATTTCGGTTAGTTGTTGTTGTCGATGTTCGTCACACGTTTTCCCGCTCGACGGCAAAAAGGGTGTACGGGAAAAAAAGAAGTCGTCTGGCTCTGTGATTGGTGCGGATACATTTTTTGCATGCCACTCAATTTCCCTTTTGCCGAGGTGGACGCATACTGCTTTTTTGGGTGGTTGTTTTTGCCACCTCACAAAATGGCGGACCGCCGTTTGTCGCTTTAAGTAGTTTATGAAAAATTAGAAACGGTAGCAAGGCAACCAACCCTTTCCAAAAAGGTTGCAACAAATTTTCCAAGCGAGCGCGCAGTTGACGGGGCGCTGAAAGTCATCCAAGCGCCAAGACCTAGACCCGAGTTTTAGAATTTAGCGGGTCATATACAGCTACACCTGTCCCCTGCACTTTTCCCCCGCATTCCATTTTCCATTTTCCTTCCATTTCCTCTGCAGCGGCACAAAGAAGTTGCATCCTTTCAGGCCATCATCCTACTGTCCCTATCTACCTGCACTTCTCACCTTTTCCCTTCTCCTGCTCCTAAAACTCAATTCTCACCTCACAATTTTCCTTTTTCCTTGGCTCTGTTTTCGTTGCCTTCAACTGACAATTTATCTCTCTGGTTGTTTGTAGAGGGATCGGAGATCGGGAAACAAGGGTGTTGCAACGTTAGCAACGTTGTTTTCATTTCGCATGATGGCAGGCGGAGACAGAGTTGCAGCGTTTCAGAGTTTCAGAGTTTCAGACTTCCAGACAGGTTCCCCCGAAGGAAGGGCCTAAAACAAATGTGGACCCGCCCGCCTGCCAAGTCGGGGTTTTCATTACCTTTTCAGTTTCCATCTTTCCTGCCTGCACTCTGTTTCTGTTTTCCTTTCATTAGTTGTCAGAGATTGCCGAGTCAGAGATGGACGCACCATCATCATCCTGCCCGGTGCAAAGTGTTTTTAATTCTCTCATTAGTAACTGAAATTACTCCACACCATTCTTTAGATGATGGATGATGGCTGTGCATGATATACGAAGGAGAGAGAGCTATTTCCGCTTGATATTATACTCTTTTGTTGGCTCCTGATATGCGGGCCTCTCTCATTAGATTGATTGTACTGAAGTTTACTCTTAATTTGTCAATCCGTAATGGTTACTTATTGAAGACGGGCCTTCAGGGAATAGCAAACAGGGAATGAAGAATAAAGAATAGTTCATATATCGAATAAGAGGTATTTAGAACCCAACCCCTTTGCCTTGAGCTTGTTTGCGAGTGATATATGAGTCTGGTTTTACGTAATTCGAAGCCATTACAATGTTTTCGATTCATGAACTCTTGGATATCTCAAATTCACATAACCCAGCCATTCATCTTCCATTAGGGGTGTTCTGTTTCAATGACTTTCTGCTCTAGTTCATAAAATTTGAACCCTCAAAAGTGTCGCAAACATCGAGTCTGGAGTCAATTCATGGCATTCTTTCTGCATTAATTACAAACAGAGAATGAGAAATGTCTCGTATTCAAGAAACTGGCAGCTGTATTCGCTCTCTAGAATATGTATATCCCTCTGGTTCTTTGCTTGTGTCGCATAACTAATTAGCAATTAAATATCGCCACTTTCTGACACGCCCCAATTACGCGCATGCGCGACCTCCACGGAAAACATAAAGAGTTCTTACATGCTAACGGTAAAACGGTTTACAGGCGACAAATGTTTGGGAACGTTTGAAGTTCTGAAATTTTAAAATTCCTATGCCTCTTTGTACCTGACTTGCATATCATTTCACAGTCCGCTGAATGCGCGGTAGTCCATCAAAATAAAACGAAAAAAAAGAAATAAAAATAAAAATAGTCGAAACATTTAACACTATGTTGGGCCTGCGCATTTGTTATTTCCAGTGGGTAGCCTGTGAACTATAAGTGCATTCGATCAAGGGCTATCTGGTACATATAATACATATAGAGCTGAAGTCATGCTGCTGAACTGCAAGGTAGATGGGGCAAAACAAAACTAAAAACAGAAACCGAGATGACTTCTGGGCTATCTAGCCAGATATATACAGAAAGAACCTGTTTTGGGCCTATGTTCGCTGGGTAGGCACAGTAAACGCTCGTAAATTACAAACGCAACTGATTTTACTCGCTGAACAGGGAGTAGTTAGCTCCAAACTATAGTTACTAGCCTTTGTTTCAAGAGCTGAGAACATTTTGCGGGTTTTATTTCGCGAATAATGTTGGAAATTGTGTTACTGATATTATAAGTGGTTTAACGTCTCTATAAAATTAATTAATATTTATGTACCGTCTTTATAGTTGGGAAAGACATAAAATTACCTTATCTAGCTTTTTTGCACTCTTCTTAGTAAGTAGCACATGGTGATTGGTGACCCCGATCTTCCTAATTTCTTTAAGTTTCGAAAAGACTACAGAATAATATTCCAATGAGTTATAAGTCTGGGTGTACAAACACAAATGTCTTTTACTCATGACACTATAATCCGAAGTGAATCATTTTCCATTGGACTAATTAAACAAAGCTCTCGCTCTCTTTCCCACTCTACAAAGTCTGGATATATATATATTCATATATTGAAGGCGTGCTCGGGCCTCTATTTGCTTTTCTAATATTGAAATGAGTTTGTTGCGTTGTTTTCTCAGATGCCCGCATCACGATGCCATTTTAGCTCGTCAAGCGATGCAATTGTCGTTGGGCCACCGCCTTAACCCATTGCCATCACATCTCGATTGCTGGGTTTTAGGAGGGCGGGATGGGTGGCTGTCAATCCAATTTTAATGAAATGTGTTACTTCGATTCCCAGGCGCAATTAATTTGAAATGTTTCAGTTGAGCAGGCACAAGCCGCACTCGAATTTCTCCCCCTTTTCGGCTTGTGGCCCGCATTTATGTGCAATTCGCATAAAACATATTTTCAGGGCATTCCAGAGCTTTGGTCAATGCTCCTGATGTTTCTACGGCTCTGACTCAACCTACTGGTTAGCAACTCTTTTTCGAGCACTGGGAAAAATAATTCAAACACCAGGTGTTATAAAAAAGTCGGGGATTATAATGAAAAGTCCTAGTATATGACAGTTATTATTCAGAAACTAAAATTCTAGGGGTTCTGTTTCATATTCATTCGAAAAGTTCGGAGTTTCAATCATAAGACATAGAAATATTTTTTTTACAATCATTTACAAACCTTTTTGGGAGCTATTTTAATATTTTCTCATATTACAAGACATTTAAAAATTTAGTGGAATAATATTAAATATTCAATTTTATGGATGTGCAAATATTATTAATATCTTGAATTTGTAAGTACCTAGTTAGTTTCCCCAGTGTACTCCTGCTCCATGTAGTTTGTGTCAATTGTTTGAGCCTGAATTGTTTTGGCAAATGTTTGAAGAGCAGCCACAGACACGAACAGGAGTATCGGTGTGTGTGGATGAGGTAACAGATCCCTAGGCTCATTGCACTCGTTTTCCACTGCATCGTGTAGTACAGTACACCCCCTAACCACCCTGCTTTCCCACCGGCTGAGCTGAGCCAACTTCCGGTTATGAACCCGGAGCACCTTTCGCATTTCGCATTTGGCATTCGCACTGCAATTCCTATTCCCATTCACGTTCACGGTTCAGTTGCTCAGCTCATACTCATAGTCATACCCCTATTCCTATCCCTATCCACTACCTATGCACTCATGGCTAAGTGCAGTGGCTGGCATACTCCGTTTTTCAAAATTAGTTGGCAACGCAAACGAGCTGAGGCCCAAATAAAATGCTTTACTTGTTAGAGGTCATTAACGCGACCATTGTTTCGCTGGGCGCCTTCCACATGCGGCGGACTGGCGGACACTGGAAAAGGTCACCCGCAAGTGCCAACGGATGTGCTCCGGGTTGGCTCATTAAAATCGGATTTTTGACTCTGCCGCCCCCAGTGCACAAACACAATGGATTCAGAGCCCCGGCAGCGTTTAGAGCTGCTCCATTAATGGCCAGTGGATGTGTTTGCACTTGAACGCGCATCGCCTAAACAGCGGATAAGATTAAACCTATAATGGAAATGGTTACAACACTCTCAAACGACCGATTTCCTATGTTGATGTAAAGTATTAGGGATTTGAAATGAAATAAAAGAGCAATTGTATATCGCATATAGGCGATATGTACAAAAACCGATTTATTGCTTATCAGGCGCCTTTTGTAACACTACCAACAGTTTTCCAGAAAACAAGATAATACATTTGGGATTTGTAAATGAAAACTAATTGCTTATTGTTTGACACGGGGGTGTCACAGAAATCCTTTTAGAATGCTTTAAAGGTTTTTGAAAATTTATCATACTTCAAAATTTGTATCATATGCATTTAGTACCCAGATGACATATTACTTATCAGGCGTCTTCTGTAACACTACCAGCAGTTTTCTAAAAAAAAAGATAATATACTTGGATTTTGTAAAATGAAACTTATTGCTTCTTGTTTTATACTGTCACAGAAATCGTTATAGAATTCTTTAGAGATTTTTTAAATCTGTGGTACTTGAACATTTTTTGATCATAGGCATTCCAGAACCTACAATATATATTGCTTATCAGGCGCCTTTTTTCCAGTACTTTTTCTGGATCCTCAGAATGCAAGATAATACATTTTCTGGCTTATAAAAGAAAACCATTGTTTAAAAAAAAACATATTAAATCGTAATCAATAAAATATATTTTATATTTTAGAATTTAAAAGTTTTTGTTTTTTGGAAAAAGTTAATAATTTGCTCTGTTTAAAAAAATCAATTTTATATTTTGAAGGCTTTGTAGATTTTTGCAGTTTTTGGCATCTGCCTTTTTTCAGTAACCATACAAATAAAGTTGAACAAAAATTTCAAATAAATATAATAATGAAACTCTTAAAAGTTACATTAAATCTAATACATAAATTACAATTTACTAACTATGTATACTATTTATCTCTCGTTTCCAGACAGTGCCACCTATGTGGGCAACACCCTGCGCATCAAGTCGGTGAAGAAGGAGGATCGCGGCACCTACTACTGTGTGGCGGACAATGGAGTGAGCAAGGGCGACAGGCGCAACATCAATGTGGAAGTGGAGTTCGCCCCGGTGATCACCGTGCCGCGTCCTCGCTTAGGACAGGCCCTGCAGTACGACATGGACTTGGAGTGCCACATCGAGGCCTATCCGCCACCGGCCATCGTTTGGACCAAGGACGACATCCAGCTGGCCAACAACCAGCACTACAGCATCTCGCACTTCGCCACCGCCGACGAGTACTCCGACTCGACGCTCCGCGTGATTACCATCGAGAAGCGCCAGTACGGAGATTATGTCTGCAAGGCCACCAATCGCTTTGGCGAGGCTGAGGCTCGCGTCAATCTCTTCGAGACGATCATCCCCGTGTGCCCACCCGCCTGCGGACAGGCGTACTTTGCCGGAGCCGAGGATGTGGCAGCCACCTCGTTCGCCCTCGTCGGCATCCTGGCGGCGCTCCTCTTCGCCAGATAAGCCAACTCCAAAACCATCAACCAGCCCTCGAATGCATAAACATATATAAAGTAGATATATCGAAAACCACATCGTATAACCGCGCAATAGACGTCTCAAAAATAATTACCCATCATCTCCAGTTTTTGTAGCTTCCATTTACGTTTCCGTTTAGTCCAGCCCAATTTTCGTACGTCCAATATTATGTCTTAAGTTAAGTATGCTAAGTGAAGGGCCAACGATAACTAGAACTATAATTTATTAGCACCTTAGCGCCGAAACTCAATTCGAAATTCGAATCCCGTCCGTTTTGCTTTCTGATCTGGCACTGTATATGTTTTAAATAATTTTAATCTAAGCAAGATACATCACAGGCATTCCGATTTTGCTTCGACAATTGAGAGAATATTTTATTTTTATTTAATAAATAATAAAGTATTTTCGTTACGCAAACCTGACAACTCGACAAACTATCCCGTAAAAAGAAACCCCCCGAAAATCGAGGCAAAATCCATATTCGAATAAAAGGCAACAAAAGTTGTGTACATTATTAGCTCTTAAGCACAATGAGAAATTCTTTTGAATAACAAGACATTTTTACCCAAATTTTTGTGTGGGTGTGAGTAAAATCCATTTCGACTTTGTAATAAAAAAACGAGAAAAACACAAAACAAAAACGAACAAAAAAATCAATAAAAATATTTAAAAAAAAAAAACAAAAAATTGTAGTTTTCAACAAATAGTTCATTTGATTTTAAAATGGTGTAAATGAGAACGATAAAGTATTCATTGTATAAATAACAGGATCAATTGGGATGTGGCCTTATCGCACCTGCATTGATGGCCATGCGGTAGTAGAGATTGAACTCGTTTTCGTAATCCTCAAAGCTGGCATTATTGTATCGTTTGCCGGGGGGAACAAAGCGACTCAGGGGGTTTTTGAGCAGGAACTGGTAGATCCGCTCGGCCTTTTCCAGCTGCCGTTGGGTCTTCACCCCAATGGCCATCAGGTTGTCCAGCAATTGGTCAATTTCCTCGTGCTGCCGACTCGCCTTCAGTCTCAAATCGTGGGGGTCAACTAGGAGGCAGGGATATATTCGCAATCAGTCGGATATGAAAGAAATTTCCCGAATTGAGCTTACCAATTAACGGCTGCAAATTCGATTTCACGTCAGACGTGTGTGCGGCAATTGACGACGCCCACAAAATGCGTTTGCGGACTTCCTGCAGAGCGCCGAAGGGTGTTAGCAAATAGCCGGGAGCCAGTTGAACGGTGGAGGCCAGTTCCTGGCTCTCGACGATGAGCGGATTGGCCGACAACAGGAAGGAGCTATCCGGGGGAAAAGAAAACAAGCCCTTGATTAATTGGAAATATTTTAGTAGAGGAGAGAAATGTTCGCTCACCAAGCGCGTGGCATGCAGCTCAGCTTTTCCAGCGGCATTTCCAAAAAGGTATTCAGTTCTAGTAGGTGCGAGGGTACAGTGAAGCCGGATGCAGACATCATGGTGGTGGATCCACCCGGCATCAAAGTTTTATTATCGAAGCTGCGACGCATCGTTGAGTTTATGCCGCTGCAATTGCCATCAAACTCCACCTTGGTGCTCGAGAACACACTGTCATTGGCCAGGCAGAAGCTCTCCGCGCCCAGCATGGACATATTGCTGACCTTCAGCTTGGTGCTCATCAGCTGCGACTTGGCGTTCTGCTTCTGCGTGGCCGCCTGCATGTCGTCCAGCAGGTTCTTCATCATGTTGCGCGAAAAGAGGATCTTCTCCTTGATCTGCGACAGCTGAACCATGTCCTGTTGTATCCGGTTGATGCTCGAGTTGATGTCGCCATAAACCTGCTTTACAGAGCCCAGTTTAAGGTCATGATTCTCCAGCTGCCTGGCGCCCGCCTCCAGTTCCAGACGCAGTTGCTCGATTTGCTCGCGCAGGAATTCGTTCTGGGCGCGATTAAAATTCCGCATGTTGTACTGCACCAGATAGTCGCTGATCAGCTCGTCGGCGCTCTCCTCATCGCCCAAACTGAGGCCATTGAAGCTGTACACCTTCGTCTGCAGCTTGTCCACAAAGACGCTGTAGTCCTGGCAGAAGCGCTCCTCCTTCTGCTCCAGTTCCTTTTGGGCACCGAAGTACTTGGCTGCGAGGCCCAGCATATCGGCCTTGGTCTTCAGCAGCTTCACCTCGTAGTTGTTCAGCGGCGGCTTGACAGTGGTGCTCTTGCTTTTGCTTTCATTCAGTTGCATTATGTGCTGCAACTGCTCCTCCTTGATCTTCATGATGACGTTTAGGAGCAGAGCGTTGGGAATGTCGGCAAAGGTGCTGCGCATCTCATCCCACAAACGCTGCTTGGCCTCGGCCAGGGAGTGGACCACACTGCCACCCTCATCGCACATCCCGTAGAAGGTCTCCAGCTGCCGGAGAGCCTGCTCCGCTGCCCGGTTGGCCTGCACCTCGCTGGCATTCCTGGCACTCAGCTTTACGGGCGTGGTGGCCAGGATCTGGGCCTTGTTCTTCAGCTCCTGATCATAGCTTTTGCTCAGGGATTCCAGCTTCAGATCGAGGATATTGCATTTCGCGTCGAGCAGTTGCTTTCGGTTCTCCGCACTGATGGTTTGAATGTCTATAGGGGATTATCAAAGGGATTATGTGGTTTTTAACCAGGTTTTTTTGCTGATTTTACCCACTTTTGCTCTTGTTGTAGGCGGCCAGCTTTTGGTACTCCTTCCTGGCCTCCGCCAGCTGGAGATCCGCCTTCTCCTTGTGCTTCCTCAGCTCCTGCATCTTGTGGTGCCGCTGGAGCTCCGGTGGCTGGAAGCTGCGGGAAGCCAGCGGCACCATCTTGTCCTTGGTGCGGGCCACCTGGGCAATCAGCAGGTTCTCGCGCACCTCGCGCACCACTTCCACCGGTTGGGTGCGGGTTTGCAGCCGCTGGAGGAGCAAACTAGAGCCGGACTTAAGAATCCTTTCAAGGGAAGCCCAATTTTAGCCATTATTAGCGGGTGATTTTATTAATTCCTTCGTAACTTACCCTCGCAGTGCATTGTCGGTGGGCAGGGCAGTGGGCGGACATCCCAGACTGGTGGCCCAGGCCTTGAATTCGGCTATTTTCTCCTGGTAAGCCATGATTTGCAATAAAATATATTAACCGCAAAAAGGCGCAGTTGTTTAAACCGGGCATTCACCAACACAAACAAATCGGACAGGGTTGCCTATGCACTGCATGTGGTAGCAAGTTGGCAGTCCCCATAACGGCTATTGAAATTTAAATTGGCTTAAATTAAAGGTTTTTATATCTTAAGGTTATTGTCTTAATGTTAATGACTGCTTAAAATTTAAATAAATACATTATAGATCATTCCTGATTTAGAATTGCACGCTAGAATTGAAATTGTTCTCTCTTTCAAATTCAGTTCTTAGGTCTTGTAGTGTGAACCATCTATGTTAAACAAAATGAAATGTGTATAAAATATGGTTTTAATTCGTTGATAGGCTTCTGTATATTTACTAACCTCATAAACCTTATACTTACTTAAATATTACAATTTAAATCTTTCCGTTTTTGGCCAGTGCTGGAAAACACGTTTGTTGGCACAGCTGATAGTGGGTGCAACTAGCTAAAATAGATAATTTATAGCCAAATACTTATAGCTGTAATCTATTTGTTTTACATAAAATAGGGCAATTTAATCTTTGAAAAGCAAAAAAGGTGAATATTTAAATTATACTCAATCTTAAATGATATCTAAACCAGAACAATTTAAGGCTTGCCCCCTAATTTCAAATAATCATTTTGTATTTATCTATTTCTTAGCTAAAAACTGCGCATCACTGCCTTAAGAGCAGTGCTGCAAAACCTCCGCGGTCTTTTTGAGCGGCGCACGTGGAGCAAACTCAAAGAGCTCACGTTTTTCATAGATTCAGCTCCAAAAAACCGGATAAATTAAGTTAAAACTATGGGTCGCAAGGCTGAATACAGTGAGAAACCGAAAAAGGGTCCCGGCCGCAAGGCGCGCAAACAGGGAGCGCCCGTCTTTCGCAAACAGTCGTTTGGTGAGTGCTGGTGAAGATTTCCCCCGCCACCAACCAGGTGATAATCTAAAATGTCTCTTGATCCACAGCTCCCATGGAGGAGGAGGAGAAGAAGCTCTCCCACCGACAGAAGCAGCGATTCGTGAAGCGGGAGCAGAAGAAGGTGGTCCAAAAGGCCAAGCTGCAGGAGAAGCGGGCCAAGGGAAATCAGCCCCAGAAAGTTAAGCGGAAGACGGCCTACAACAGCGACAGCGAACCGGAGGAGGATGAGCAGCTGCAGCAGGAGGCTTCCTCCGACGAGGAGGTGCCCCAACTGGTGCCGGCTCCCAAGAGCCAGAAATCCGCAGCTCCCAAGGGCTTCACAGATGACAACGACGCCTGGCTGAAGCCCAAAAAGCAGAAGAAGCCAGTGAAGCAGGCAGAAAGCGAGTCCGAAGAGGAGGAGGAGGATGAGGACCTGGAGGAGGACTCCCAGGCTGAGTTGGAAGATGACTCCGAGGGCGAGGAAGGCCTGGAAGCAGAGGAATCCGGTGAGGAAGAGGAGGAGGAAGACGATTCCGATGATGACGCCGCTCAAGTTGGCAAGCTCGCCGATCTTTCCGATGATGATGAGGCCAATTCCGACGATGACTTTGATATATCCGGCGAGGAAGATGGTGGCGCCGCCGACAGCGATGAGGAGGAGGATGAGGATGACGACGACGATAGCGATGACGACAAGCTGCCCATCGAGCGCGCCAACAAGATTCTAAAAAAACGCGAGGCCAAGGAAGCCCAGGAAGCCGACGAGGAAATGCTGGAAACTTTCGACCGCCAGGATGTGTTCCAGCTGCCCAACGAGGAGGAAGAGGCCGAGAAGGACCTCACGCTGCAGGAAGTGCAGCAGCGCATCAAGGACGTCAGCTTGGTTCTCTCCGACTTCAAGAAGTACCGCCAGGCGGATCGCTCACGCGGAGAGTACATCGACTTGCTGCGCAAAGATCTCTGCTTGTACTACAGCTACAATGAGTTCCTGATGGAGAAGCTGATGGACATGTTGCCGCTCACCGAGCTCATGGAGTATCTGGAGGCCTCAGAGGTTTGTATACCAGTTAATAAGTAAGACTTCTATGTTAGTAATGATAAAATGTATTCCCTAGATTGCTCGTCCACTGACCATTCGCACAAATACTCTAAAAACTCGTCGAAGGGACCTAGCTGGAGCTCTGATCAATCGTGGCGTCAACTTGGATCCCCTGGGCAAGTGGACCAAGGTGGGACTGGTAGTCTTCAACTCGCAAGTGCCGCTGGGTGCCACTCCAGAGTATCTGGCCGGTCACTACATGATCCAGGGAGCCTCCTCGCTGCTGCCTGTGATGGCACTTGCGCCGCAGGAGAACGAACGCATCCTGGACATGTGCTCTGCTCCAGGTGGCAAGGGATCCCACATCGCGAGCATTATGAAGAACACCGGCGTGCTGTTCGCCAACGATTCCAACAGGGATCGCATCAAGGCCATTGTGGCGAATTTCCATCGGCTAGGCATCGTAAATGCGGTGGTCAGCTGCGAGGATGGCACCAAGTTTAGGAATATTATGACTGGTTTTGATCGCGTTTTGCTGGATGCTCCTTGCACAGGAACTGGCGTCGTCTCCAAGGATCCCAGTGTCAAGACCACCAAGTCGGATGTGGATGTGCAGCGGTGCTACAATCTGCAGAGGAAGCTCCTGCTCACTGCCATCGATTGCACGGATGCCAAATCATCCACCGGCGGCTATATTGTGTACTCCACTTGCTCCGTGCTGCCCGAGGAGAACGAGTGGGTCATCGACTATGCGCTGAAGAAGCGCAACGTTAAGCTGGTGCCCACTGGCCTGGACTTTGGCGTCGAGGGCTTCACCAAGTTCCGGCAGCATCGATTCCATCCCAGCTTGAACCTCACAAAGCGCTACTATCCGCACACCCACAACATGGACGGTTTCTACGTGGCCAAGCTGAAGAAGTTCTCCAACACCATACCCATAACCAAGGAGCAGCAGGAGGAGGATGAGAAGCAGCTGGACGAGGCAATCGAGGCGGAGGCCACCACCGAAGCGACGGAGGAGACCGAGAAGCCTGAGGAGGGCGAAGATGGAGAGAAACAGGAGAAGGGTCCCCGAAAACTGCTGGGCAAGCGAGCGGGCAAGCCCAGTTTCACCGAAATCGAGCAGGAGCTGAAGAAGAAGAAACGGGAGGAGAGCAAGACCAAGTATGTGGCCAAGGTGTTCGAGCAGCCCGTGAAGGCACCCAAAAAGCCCAAGCCGGAAAAGCCAGTGGAGAAGATAGAGAAGAAATCCCAGGAATCAGTAGAGAAAACAAATGGAAGCCAGGAACCATTGAAACCTGCGTCTAAGAAGACCCAGACCAACGGCAAAGCCCCAGCTTCCAAGTCAGAGGCCAAATCATTCAAGAATAAGAAACAAGGAGCACCTGCCAAGGCAAATGGAAAGGCATCGCCAGCCAAGCCAACAGCCAATGGCAAAAATTCACCTGCCAAGCCAGCAGCAAAGGAACCTAAAGCGAAACCTCAGCCCCAGCAGACGAAACCCAAAGGAGGAGCAGCAAAGGAACCTAAGGCGAAACCCCAGCAGGCGGCAGCTAAGGAACCTAAAGCGAAACCCCAGCAGCAGGCGAAACCCAAGCCTTCCAAATTCACCAAGGCTCCGCGAGTGGATATTGACGAAGTGCCCATTCTGGAGGGCAAGCCCATCAAGAAGCAGAACAAGCTGAAGCAAAAATCCAAGCAGATCGGCCAGCTGAAAAAGTCAAATACAAGCGCGAGTGCGGGAGGAAAGAAGCAAAAGTTCAAGAAGTGAACACCTTAGATTCAGTTTTGTTAAGTAGACTGTAGCCTGTAAGCCTGTGACATATAATTCGGGTAGTCCCGACATGTTTTTATATATTTCCCACGGTTTTAGCCAATGATATTGAAGATTGAACTACAAATTGTGCTGTAATTAACAATCGGATTCAATAAACGCTAAGCTCGGATTAATGTAGTCACGAATCGGGTTTATTGGAATATTTTAATAGGCGGGGGAATTAGTATACATTTGAGAGACGAAGCTTTGACCGAGTTATCAGTTTCAGTCCCGAAGCTCAGCTCATTCGCCAGAGCAAAGGTGTCCAAGCTCAGCGGAGCGATGCGATAAGCTGTTGTTTAATTACTTTCTCAGTAGAAATCAATCGAACGAGATGGAAAGTTTACTTTTGCTGTGCTCTTGTCTGATCACATCGTTGATTTTTATCGAGGCGGAAGTGGATATCAATGTTGCTACGGCAAACCAGATTCACCAGAATCTTAATAGATCAACGTCAGCCTGCTCGAATTTCTGGAATTTTGCTTGTGGCGGTTTTAGCCGGGCCTCGAAATATGTGGACAACTTTGAGTGGGTCGAGGATCAGTTTGCCAGTGCGATGGTGGAGTTCATGGAGAGTCGTGTGGGAGAAAACGACACCCAGGCACCCCGACTAATCAAACAAATGCGATCGTATTATAGAGCTTGTACGGAAGACAAAAGAAAATTAAATGCGACCCATCCTCCAGAGGAATTTATGGTACGGTCTTCGCATCCGGGGAAATTTGTAGAGCGCGGCTTGAATGGCCTGTTTTTTGATGAGCGCATTGGAGTAGCCGCAAATGACTCCCTGCGACAGGTTATTCAGATCAAGATGCCTGAACCGAGTGCTAGATACAATAACCTGCGTGTTTTGCAGCTTTTAAGTTTAAATAAATCGAGGTATAATAACGGAACCGTCCAATTAATATTGAAATTGCAGGAACTGCAAGATAAATATCGGGTAGAGAATCCCATTGTATATACATGGACTTACAGTGAAATAAGACAACAAATCCCCATTGTTCGATGGCAATACATTTGTAGTGAACTATTGGGTTTAAACCACACTTCTAAAGAGTTCGATCGACTGATTTTCGAGGTCAGTGATGTGGAGTATTTGCGGGAAAGTTATCAGATCGTGGAGAATTTCGATCCCCTCCCCAAATATCTATATCTTCAAATGCACCACTTTGCTTTTGTCGAGGAATATCAACCCAGAGTGCGAAATCCCAGGAACTGCGTTCACCACATGCGAGCTATTCTACCCCTGGGAATAAATTATATCTACGATCGATTTATATACCAAAATCGGAAAGAGGACACCTTACAACTACAGAGGATGCTCGTAAATTTCAAGAAAACTTTTGGGAAATACTTGAATGGCAATCGCCTCCAGCTTACAACCCATCAATTGGCCTATGTGAGAGATAAACTAGATGGTATTCAGTTAAGAGTGGGAAATTTACCGGAGGAGAAATCCCCGGAGTTCTATGACAACCACTATGAGGTGGCTAATTTTACAGAGTCAAATTTCCTGGGAAATCTCATTGAGGCTTTGGCCTTACGGTCGCGTCTCCAGCATGCGGGTCTACTTAATCCGGAATCTAGATTGGATCTCCAGCGCTACTATGTCAACGATAATGTGAGGAAAGCCCGAACCTCTCCGTTCTATGAAAACGAAAGGAACACCATCACCGTGCCCATGGAATTTTTGCAATGGCCACTCTTCGATCACCGACAGCATTCCATCTTCCAGCAGAGTCTTTTGGGAGCAGTTCTGGCCCACGAGATGAACCACGCCTTCGAGCAGGATGGCATACTCTTCGATGCTGCCGGAAACGAGTCTCCTGTGGGCCTGGAGATTCGGGAGTCGCCTGCTTTCCAGGATGCCATCAAGTGTGCGGAGCGGAAACCTTACGTTTCACTGAAGGAACGCCTAGCTGATCTCAATGGTCTGCAACTGGCCTACGACTCCTTCTTTGGACTGGATCATGACTCCCGGAATTTGGAGTACCGTCCGTATGCCTTCGAGCGCGAGTTCTCCGCCCCACAACTGTTCCACCTGAGCTATGCCCAGTTCTTCTGCGGATCCCTGCCTCCAGTCATCGCCCACGATCGCGATGATGAGCGTGTGAACGTGAGCGTTGAGAACCTGCGTCAATTTGCGTACGACTTTAATTGCGAGGCGAATCACTTGTCCCACTGCGAAATGTGGCGCCCATAACCATAAAATGTAACACAAAATATATGCTGATCAAATGGGAAATTCCTCGGTATTCCGATTCCGCAGAGCGGTTTTAAATACAATGTTATAATGCAAAATACTAGAAGAATGTGTTAATTATTATAATTCACCTCTATTATTTTCCTGATATTTAAATAAACATATATGTGTAACAAAAAAAAAAGAAAATATTCCCAAAGAAATTAATTACAGAAAATAAGTGTCATTAAATTGTATTAATATATTCATGGGTAATATTGGCTAATCCTAATGGAAATAATCGAAGAATGTGTTAATAATTACACTTCACCTTTATCTTTTTCCTAATAATGGAATAAACATATGTGTAACAAAAAAAGAAAAGATTCCCAAAGAAATTAATAACATAAATGAAGTATCATTGAATTGTATTAATATATTCCTGGGTAATATAGGGTAATCTTTTAAAAATATAATATTTTATTGAAGATAATGTAAGTTTGTATGTTTTATAAAAATTTAAAATATTCTCTAAAAAAAAAGTCCTAAGTTAATGGTATCCCATAATCCAAATCCAAAATCCCCTCAAGGGTTTCCCTAGCTGCAGGGTATTATATGTCTTATTCCTGTTTAAAGTGGACAAAACCCATTTGGCGGCCCATTCAGCTTGAGTGTCAATTGCAGCTGACAGGCCATCGTAATCGCCTTCGCAATCACAATCGCTGCAATCGTCAATTGAATGCAAATACCGCAGAAAACGCCGGTCTCACCGCGAACTTTTCGCTCTCCGGCTCTCTTTTAGCTAGAGCTTTTCAACTTGTTGCGGTAGTCGGCAGTCTCAACAGTCAACTGGTGTTGTATCCTGCATTGTTGTAATGCGAGTGTGTGGGTGTGCTTTTCCGCAAAGCTCACATTTTCATCCGCCCCGTTGGCCGCAGTTTGGCGCTGTCTTTGGCCGCCTTTGGACGCGTGTGCCGTGGGTCCGTATCACTACCCTGGACTATCCGTAATCTTGGCTACCCGGCTGATGCTCCTCCGATTATCTCGCCATCTCCGAGTTCTCTACGAAAAAAAAACACAACAAGCGCCGCAGGCTTAATTCCGTTTTTCGTCTTAATTTCGCTGTTTTTCGTTCGATTCGATTGGTGTTTTCGGGAAGTATTCTATTCGATTCGATGCCATCTAAAATTAAACGTGTTCCCAAGTTCCTAAAAATGTGTCATTCCGCGATCGTGCGTGTGTGCTAAGCAATGCAAACAAATAAATGATAATGATAAAAAGGCGATAAACGTTTAAAGCTCCGAACAAGAAAAGAGGTGCAAAAAAGCAAAAAGAAAACCGCATGTGAGTGCGAGAATTCAGCAGTTTAGTACGGGGGAGCGTGGCACCCGAAGACCCTGACCCCCAGAACCCCGATTTAAGATTCAAGATTAAAGATTCCCAGCCTTCGCGGATCCCCAAAGATCCATTCCTCGGCCGGTGCATAACGAATTGGGCAAATATACCCGGCAGTCCGGGGCCATAAAAACATTCCGCAAAAGCAAAACGCCACGGGGTGGCGCACTGGTTCCAAATCCAAATCCACAACCAAATCAAAATCCAAGTGGCGATGATCACTTAGCAGCTTGCTCCCATTAGCAAACAATGGAGAAGTCCGCAAATAGACTTTAAATTGAAGAATAAACGTCTGATTAGACTCAATGGCCGTCGGATTATCCGCAGCCAGCTTCACAAAAGGCGAAAACAAATTACCGAGGGCGAGAAAGGGGGAAACCTCGGTACTCGCGGGGAAAAATGTATATTTTTTGATGATACACAGAGAAAACTGCAATTTACATACCTAGTTATTGGTTTTGTTTACAAATATTCCCATATTTTAAAGATGCATTTTCATTGGTTGCCTTTTTTAAAATTGGCTGTCGATCATATTTCCATTTTTAGGTGCATTCGTTTGGTTTTCCAAGATGTCAAATTAGAATATTAAAATAGAATAGAATTTGGTTATAATTTTGATAAGCTGAAATCTTAAAATACCTAGAAGAAACTTAAAATTTATTGAAAGGGAAACTTTAATTTACATTCTGATGATGTATTGAATATTAGGAATGGTAATAAAAGGAATTTCGTTTTCTCTGTCTAGAATGGAATTTCTTTAGGATTGTTTTTTCTAGTTTTGTTCCCCCCTCTGATTTTATTTCATATATGCAAATGATTGTGCTCCATTTGCATGTTTACGACTCGCTTTATCCGGATAAAGAGAGCCTCGAGGTGCTCGGGGACATCATGTCCTGTTCTGTTTTTTGCACCCCCTTCGCTTTCCTTCCACTCCCACCCATGTTTCCTGCATCCTGCACTGGGATTTTTTAATTAATTCTTATCCGGCAGGATGGGCATCCTCTCGCTTTCTCTTAACTGCATCGCAAAATTCTGTTCTCATGCATATTTTATATGTGCACCACACACCCCTACCACCCACACGGTGTGGTTTTTGTTGTTGTTGTTGCTATTGAGCAAAGATAAACATTTGTAATATTCACCCTTTATATTCGCCAGTTCCACTCGCACTCCCCGATTCATTAGGCCGCCCACCGCCCCCATCGGCTGCTTCTCCAAAAAAGGTAAACAGGGTATAAAAACACCGACTTGGGGCTCGGGACTCAGCAGGGCGCAAATTGTTTGCGACTCTCGAATATGAATTGTTAAGTAAATACGAAAATTTAATTATACTCGATTGTAAGAAGGCGAAGCGAACGGGAAATGTATGTAAGTGGGGGAAAACTTTTGGGGGACGGTGGCTTAAATTAGCAAATGGCTTTCGAGTGTAAGCACGCCAATTTCGAGTGGCTTTTGTTCGATCTACTAACTCTAAATGCACTTTGTGTGTTTGCAAGTGACTTACTTTGTTCCTTTGCCCTTTTAGTTCATTTCCTCCCTCCAAAAACCTTTACACAGAGAAAAAACATAGACCTACATCGAGTAAAGTAAATAAAATCTTTATCATATCGCAAATCATTTCAGTATTCAATATTGGCTCATTTTGAGTGTCATAAATATTAAATGTTAACACAAGCGGAATCCATTTGGTTATAAAAAATTAGGTTACAAAAACAACTAGTTAATTTGAGTCATTCATATTTCAATTAATTTTTTTTTAATTTATTTTCAACTCAATTAATTTATTTTTAATAATATAAATCGATTTATATTTATCTTCTTCAGCTTGAACAATTCTATTATAATAAATACTCATATTTTTTGTAATGCCCTGTAAATACTTATGCTGCCCACATAATTTTTCTGATTAAATTCTTGATTAGTTGGACATTTTTCTACACTTTTCCCTGCTAAGAGCCACTGTTTACAGAGCGTTTTTCTCCCTCCCGCAGTTAGCTAATTGAATTTTCTAATACATATTGATTGCTCCTATAGAGCAGCTGCTCGTAGTTTGCCCTCCATGATGCTGGCGGCCTGTCTACCTGTATCTTTTGCTATTATCTACCCCTTCTGCATCCAGTGCCCCTGGAGCGGCACTGCCATAAAACAGATAAAACAAACTTTGCATGAACTCATGAAATTTTAAAATTACATCATGTTTATGTATCTGGGCGTGAGTGGGTGGCATTATTATGCACGTGTTTTGGGTATCTCCGTCTCCATCTCCATCTCCATGACTCCTGACCCTGGATCCGCCCACCCACTCCACTTCACCTGCCATGCAACAGGCAATAAAATGCCCGCAGCTCCGTTGCCAAACTTGTATGAAAATTGCAAATGAAAAGGGAAATATTTTTGTTTTATTCTTACTTTATTCAACTTTCTGTTTGGGCAGGGCATAAAACAACTTTACGATTCCACACCCTGGGCCCCTCGTGGAAATCTAAAGCTGGCTGCGAGTTCAAAGCATCTTGAGAATTTGTTATGCCGTTGTAAGCCAATAAAATTAGTAAGCATATGAAATGAAGTCGTCTGGCAACGCGGCGTATGCTTGATATTGGTCGCCGTTGCTCATACGCCATGTGCACCCCAGATCTTTCCTTCTTTCATTCTCCTCTTCGCTAGCTGTGTTTGGTTTCGTTTCAATTTTCTTTTAATTTGTAAACTTTCCCCGTGTGGGTGTTTGTTTTGCTTGGCCTTAGAACGCCTGGTTTCACGGGGTGATGGTCGAGATGGTCAAGAGGATAAGGATGACGAGGCGTATGACGATGCTCGGAATCCGTATATTTATTTGCTCTCGACCGGCCAAGACCATAAATATCGATATGATAGCGCCTGACTGCGCCTGCTATTCCATTGGGTTCGATTTAATTCGCCTCGATTCAATGCGATTCGTTTCGTCTCGATTCGATTCGATTTGATTTGTCCGCCAGCTGACGCCGTCGCTGACTTCTGACTTCTACACGCTTCGCTGGGCGGGCTCGTTCATTCATAAAGCTGCTGCCTTCCTGCTGCCCCATAATTTTTATTACCATTCGTGTTTTTCAGTACGTTTAATTTACGTGGTTTTTATCACGGAGCACACTGTCATTTGGCATTGGCTTAAGGTCTTTTAATTGATATAAAGATAATATTATTTTGCACTGAGGGAAATGCAGTTGGAAATGAACTGGAAAATTATACCTAGCACTATAGAATAATATATGAAAACTGTAATTTGAGTTCTTTGGCTAACTTACATTTGCATGATTTATTTAAATAATTCAAATGTAAAGGTATATGCCCTATTTTGTAATTTATGTGTATATTTTGTATACCTATTGTTTTTCTGTTTGCTTTTAATTATGCTGGCTTATTTCCGACAATTTCCGAGCAATAATTTCATTATTCATTCATAGATGAAATTTATGTGCATATGATTTTTAATGAAAAGAATAATGCTTCCATATTTTATTGTCACATTAAGACCAACTATTGAATAATGCTTTTATTGAGGAAGCAATGAAATATGTAAAAGCTTGTTGGGCTATAATAATCTTGCAGTTCGAATAAAAATTTATTCACAACTGATTCATTGATTAAATAAATCCATTCATGTTTATTTGATGACTAACAATTACATGTGTTGAATGATTTTCTGCCAGTGGTGTTATAAAACATGGGGAAGTTCTTTGTATTGCATTGTTCCTGCACTTTCAATGCAATAGGTTCGTTATTAATCGACCAATTTTGATGGCCCAACGCGCATGTTTCGGATTGCATGTCCGTCTTCGTTAGCCTTTCCATTGCCCACATGCCGATTGCCAATTAATTTTCATTTGTTTTGACACTCCATAAATCATCAGTGGAACAGCGAATTGGAGAGCAGTGTGCAGTGGCCAGCGAATATTAGGCATACGCCCTGTTGCACCAGCGGCAACCACGACTTGCCCACGATTTATCCGAAATTGGGCGCTATTATTATTTACATTGGTCAAACAGTTGAAATGTTTATTTTGGGCCGCCAGGGCGGCCAATTGTGGCGCATTTAGAGGCCAGATTAGTCGCCCCACCATTGGCTCCAAATGACACGGATGCTGATTATTGCGATGATCTTGGCGATGATCATCAGCGCGGGGTGATAACCACAAGCACGCGCTCGTCCAAATAATGCGCTTGTTTGCCAAGCCCATAAATAAATCGCTGCCTCTTTTTTGGATGGAGAGCTTAAGATTGTGGCATGACGACTTCTATGCCAGATGTTTGGCCATTTCGGGATTGAAGGCAAATATTTGCACACCGAAAAGGGAGCGAGGGAGCAGGGATTTGGGGCAATTGGGGGGGCGGAGTCGGAAAGGCCATTTCCAGGATCTGCTTTCAATTTAATTGAATACGCAAATAACCAGTAGGAAATTCATCTGCAATTTTCAGCCTTTTGGAACTTATGATTTTTAAATAAATTTAATTTTAAAGTTCACTTCAATAAGCTATACAAAAAGTTATAGGAAAGTCTATATATTATATGTTTATGTTTTATATGCTTTAATTTAAAAGCTTTAAATCTAGTATCTTAAATACTGACATTATTTATATATTTTTGGACAAACTAAAATTCTTTTGAGATTATTCGTAGTTAACTTTTCTATTTGAATACATTCCCTGAAATTAAATAAGAAAATTAGAAGTACTTCATTAAAATCTAAATAAGCAGGGTTATCAATTTCACCATTATTTTTAGAGCATTTAAATTACTTTAAAGGTCACGAAGAAGGAAATTATTCCAAAGAAAGCGAGTTGGAGCTCTGCAGGGAAAAGAGGCACCCACGTTAAATTGTTTCGGGCGGATTCCTCGGCTAGCAACGTGTTGCAGGTGCAGCTGGTATTTCCTTTCTCCCGTGCCAGAGATCAAAGTGGCTGGCGGCTATTTATAGGGCGTAATTAGCTGGTCGGACATGGCCCAGAATGCCCCCTCCATTCAAATGCACGACGAACCCTGACATTCGCTGATATGGCCCGCAAACATATGTAGATATGCAGGGCTCAAATGTTATCTCATCTCATCCCAACTTGACATTGACAAAGCTCCTGGCCATCTCATCAGCTTCCAGCAGAGCAGTTAAAGCGGTTGAAGTTAAAGCTCTGTGCGTGAGATGAGATGAAATGGGATGTGATGAGACGAGTCGGCGACCCGGGGAACAGCTCGCTGCCATGGTATTTGTTCATTAATAAATAACTTGACACTCTTTGTTTTAATCACTGCGAGGCAAAGGGGCGAAGGGGGATGAAATCTCTACCCAGTCCACGGAGCACGTTGCCAGGTGGAAACGCACATGCACCTGGCTACACATCTGTCACAGCCTCCCCTGCCTCAATTAACAGATAAAGTTACGGGCGCCGGCTAGTTTAATTACTTTGTTGCTTAATTGTTGCATGTAATGATTATGCGTGACTGGAGCTTTTATGTGTTCCATAAAGTAGCCGTAAAGTTAGCCCGCATTCCTCGAGAAACTCATAACGGTTAAAGTTTTAAATGGCAGAACTTTCGCCTTGCCATTAAACTAATCATAAGATAGTTCTATCCCTCGATAGATTTCCGAAACCCGTTTGAATCGGTATCTTTATCTCTGGCCTGCAATCTCCATTACGTCGGCTTACAGCAAACATTATCGAGTTATTGCAGCTAATGGGGATCTAACGACCCTGGACGACCCTGTAATTGATCGGGGTGTGCGGCCCAAATATAATGACAGACGGTCTGGAGCGATTTTCGTTCCGTTTGCCATATAAACCGTTCAATTACGCGGCTTTTTGCCATGGAAAAGTATTTCACCTCGTTCCTGCCCTTTTGGTTACCCATCGACAACAAAAAAAAAACCCACTACGCTGTCCATAAAGATTGTGCCCGTAGTTATCTACATTTAATCTGAGAACCCACGCCCATAAAACAGTCCCACACAGGCACGTGATTTTCTCATGTAGTATTTGAAGAGATTTTTTTATAATTTGTATATATTAACATAAAAGACGAAAACAACTCACCTTCGAGGAAATGGAGAGTGTTTTTCCGAAGATGATCCACTATTTTGCAAAAATACATATGGCAAGGGGATGCTTTATTTATTCATTCTCCTCAATCAACACAATTTGGACCCTTGAGTTTCGGCCTTCTATATATTCTGTTGAGTCACTGCAACCAAAATATTTAACCAGCAGGCAAATAAATGGTTTTTATAATATATAGCATATCTATATCTCTATATCTCGGGTTCGGGGTCTCTGGGTTCTGGGCTCTGTGGCTTGGAATCTGATTTGTGCTGGTTTTTTCGGTGGCCAAGACTCTTTACTTTAGCTGATAAAGAATGTTTCTTTTTTTATGCCACTTTTGGATTATTTGCGCAGATTCGTTTAATTGCGCATCGCACGGCGGAGAGAGAGAAAGTGCCCGCGGAGTGCCAGAGTTCAGGAGCGGAGACGCCTCGCTGACAGGTTCCTGCTGACATCCATATTGCAGCCATCACCAGGTTCGGGCTACCACATGGCCGACGACGACGATTTGAGGGCACTGGTCGACAGCCTGGACGACGCCTCGCAGGAGGACCTGGCCAAGGTCATCGCCAACTTCTCGGTGGACATGCTGCAGCGGGCCAGCGCCCTAATTGGCGCCCAGCAGGGGGACAGCGGGGGGCAGCTAAGGAACCGCACGCAGGAGTGTCTGCAGCAGCAGCAGCGGGAGGAGGAGCAGGCGTCCCTGGAGGCCCTCGCATCTGGTGGCAAGCGGGTGAGTTTCCAAGGACAACGAGGTTGGTTCTTGCCCCTCCGATGAGGCATTAATTCCTGAGTACTCCACTTATTTTGCCATTCCGTCAATAGAATATTTAGTACTAATTAGCAATCATCATGCTTGTCAATCCACCAACTTAGTTATTTAACGCCACTAAACTCTGTAATTACAGATCGATAAGCTGATTGCCGACATAGTTGATCCATTACTAGCTGCTTATTGAAACAGTTGATATGATTTTAATAGTATCTACTTATTAAATTTGTGTAATTAAATCCAAGCCAAAAAAACTGTAAAGATCATTATTATTTTTTTCAGTCTTGTAAATACTAAATACATAAAAAATATATTTGAATTCCAAAGAATTAATAAATGTGTCAAGCGATATTGACCAACTGCTTAATCTTTAAATTGTATAACAATTCATTATTTTCAATGGAATAATAAACTTTTTTATGGCAATTAAAATAGGAAACGAGGAAACCTATAAAGATTCCTTAATTACCCATTGTTTGGAGAATGAATTTATTTCGATTGAAAAATTTCCCAATTAATCGTGCTCGCTAATTGATCCATCTTCTTTCCGAAACTAATTGCCTTCAATCCATCCACATGCCAATCTCTTCCATTTCAAGCAAAAATATTGAAAATCCGGCAACTGATTTAATTTTTTTTGAAAATATTTTTGCATTTTATTTCCGGAAAATGCAGCAGATATTTATTTATGTATTCCTCTTGGCTGTAAACAAAATGGAACCCAAGGAAACCCACTTGACGCTGCATTTGGTCGTTTTTGGGCGCTTTTGTTTATCACGAATGCACGATCAAAGAGGCAAGACGGCGAAATTCAAGGGCGTTATTCCACGGAAATGTCATAAAACCTGTGAATGAAGAGCCTAATGGGTGAAAATCAGAAGTGCAAAGACAAATATTGGCGGAGTTCCCCCGGCATGTTTGGCTTATTCGTTGACAGCTCATTTTGTCGCGTGGCTAAGTCCGATCGCAATAGCTGTCGCAAAAGCTTAGGCTTATCAAAGAGACCCGACCCATAAAAGAATTGACAATTTCGCCGGAGAATTCTTCGACGAGTCTCAGGTTTTTGGCGTCACCTGATAAGACCAATATAAATATCAATGGAAGCTCTGTTTCTAACACCGCCACCAGCGCCCACAGCGATTAATTTGGCGGTACGAACTGGACTGGGTAAACAATCGCCCGGTCGGTCGTATACTTAACATTAATATATACTTTGTGTATCCGTCTGTATGAAATTGTTTAGCACGCCATTGCAAATATATAAATAAAGCCACGGTAGCCACCCTGCTGCTGGTGATTCTTTTTTTTTTCGTTTTTGGGAATATACCCAAGCGATAGATTGCCCACGCTGTGTGTATAGAATTTGGAAATTCAATTGATTAAAAGGAAATCTACTATAGATTCATACGTCATGCGTCAAAGATATAAAAGTTCAGGACCAAAGCTGAAGAAGCCATGATGATATTCTGTCAGTTTTGGCTCATAAATCTCGTGTACTCTGATTTAATGGGTTTTTTGGGTTAGACTAGGTCAGGTTCGTTTGTAGAGAGAGCCGCCAAGAAGGGAGGAACTTAATTACTGTGCTGCCTTAGCACTAAATGTTTGCAAATGTTTACCCAAGGTTACCCAAACTATGTTTTCTTAGCAAATCTTTGTATATTCATAGTCCGAAATCGGTTGTTGTTTTTCACAGATTTTACAATGTCCCAGCTCATTCGATTCGGTGCTCTGTTGGCCTCGAACAAATGCCGGCAGCCTGGCCGTTTTACCCTGTATCGAGGAATTCAAGGGCATTCACTACGACACCACAGGTGGGTATTCGAGATTCGATATGGAATATCTGTTATAACATTATTCTACATCCTTAGATAATGCCACTCGCTTTTGCTTTCCGAACGGAACCTGGGATCACTACTCGGACTATGATCGCTGTCATCAGAACTCAGGTTCCATACCCTTAGTACCTGACTTCTCGCCCAATGTCGAACTGCCGGCCATCATTTATGCCTGTGGTTACTTCCTAAGCTTCGCCACCTTGGTGGTGGCCCTCATCATATTCCTCAGCTTCAAGTGGGTTTTAAAGTCTAGATATATATTAAAATTAAATTTCTAACTAAACATTCCTTAGAGATCTGCGTTGCCTGCGAAACACCATTCATGCGAATCTGTTCCTCACCTACATCACCTCAGCCCTCCTGTGGATACTCACATTATTTCTGCAAGTGGTGGGTTAAATCCCATGATAAATTTGCTCTTCCATTAATTAAAAATGCTCTTAGATAACCACAGAGTCTAGTCAGGCTGGCTGCATAACGCTGGTCATCATGTTTCAATACTTTTATCTAACCAACTTTTTCTGGATGTTTGTGGAGGGTGAGTTCAAAGGCGGTATCAATTGAATTCGATTGGTTTTATCATTGCTTTTTATTATAGGCCTGTATCTGTACACGTTGGTGGTGCAAACGTTCTCCAGTGATAACATTAGCTTTATTATCTACGCCCTGATAGGATGGGGCTGTCCGGCTCTATGCATTTTGGTGTGGTCCATTGCCAAGGCTTTTGCCCCGCATCTCGACAACGAGCACTTCAATGGGGTAGGTATATATGGTTATAAACCTGTGGAGGCCAGCAGGAGCAGCATAAGTACAATGAAATAACCCATTTCGTTTGTGTGAGGTTTTTCTGCTTTACAGCGTACGTGTGCGAGTCTAGCAGCGCAGCGGCAGAGAAACTGCCTATCCGGTGGGCCGTGCACGCTGCTTCTGCTGGCCACCACTGTTTTAAACAAAGGACTAATTTATAAATATTTTCGGATCTTTTCCCTAGCTGGAAATTGATTGCACATGGATGCGTGAATCTCATATCGACTGGATTTTCAAGGTACCTGCCTCACTGGCTCTGCTGGTTAATCTAGTATTTCTCATACGCATCATGTGGGTAAGTCCAAAGTTTAGCTCAAAGTTGAAGGAATTATCTTAACGATTGTATTTCATATCTCAAAGGTGCTCATTACTAAATTACGTTCCGCTCATACCCTTGAAACGCGGCAGTATTATAAGGCCTCGAAGGCGCTGCTTGTGCTGATACCTCTTTTTGGGATCACCTATCTGTTGGTTCTAACTGGCCCCGAACAGGGCATCAGTCGAAATCTCTTCGAGGCCATAAGAGCCTTCCTCCTCAGCACACAGGTAGTTACCATTTCCTTGTTCCCGTAAAATCGATATGGCTATGTAAATTTCAGGTCAAATTTACCTTCAAATTAAAATTGATCTTAAATAATGTAAAATCGATCTACGTTTCATATCAATTTTTTTGGGAGTAGGTATATATCTAAATCTGAAATATCTTTTCTAGGGTTTCTTCGTTGCTCTGTTCTACTGCTTCCTAAACTCTGAGGTTCGCCAGACGTTAAGGCATCGATTCACGAGATGGCGAGAGAGCAGGAATATCCATCGGAACAGCTCCATCAAGAATCGCAGGTGGGCTAAGCTAAGCAATCATTGAAGGCGACTGCACTCATTTGGCATTCTAACGCATTGTTGTTGTTGGACTATATAACCCTGGCTCTTTCGACATATTGGCTTTACACTGTTTGCACTATTCGATTGATGTGGCTTTGGCTGCTATTGTAGTTGATCGCTGTTGTTGTTGTCGTCGTTGTTGTCATTTAACCAATTAATTTCCATTTCAGGCATCGCGCCTCAAAAGACTACTCGCTGCGATCGCGAACCGAAAGTCTACGGTGCGTATATGCAATGCTCATGTATAAAGCTTACTTTTCCTCTAAAATTGCTTCGACAAAATACTAACCCCAAAGCTAAATTGCACCTCTTTCGCTTAAAGTACTAACACACATGTTCTACTGAATTTGTCAGCCTAAAACTCTTCTTTTCTTCGCTTTCTGAATTTTTAATTGTATTTTGCATGGTTTGTCTTCTGGACACCTTATTTGTTCTCATTTATTTATTTCCGTATGTTTCTGATTTCGGGGTTCTCCCTTTTCTGTTTATCGTTTCTTGTAGACTGACCTCAACAAGTCCTGTACCCACCGGACACTATGAATGAACACCACACACAAAAATGTATACGACACAGAGATTTCCCCCCACATATGTACATGTAGAGCATATCCTTTTGTCCATAAGTATTGCATGTTAGTTTACACGTTAAGAGCTCAGATTAAAGTATTATATTTTTTATAAACGAACAGCAGGTTGAATTGGTTTTTCTTGTATCTTACAAATAATTATAATTGATTTTCAGCACGGAGGAATGTGTGATCTGCCTGCGTCCTTCGCCACATACGAGATTGGGATCTCTACAACGCTACCACAGCATCGATATCACAGATTTTGTCTAGGCTTCATTTCTCAGGGGCATTTATGTAGTCCTTTTTGGTGTTGTAGATCCGATAAAGTCTATATCATTCCTTGTTGTCATGGCAATTCGATTAGACGGGCTTTTAATCTGGGCTCATCAGAACAAAATAATTTCCGGAAAACGTCAAAGGATTCAACCTAAAGCGTTTATTCCTGAAGATATTTCGACCAGGGCCGCTTCAGGCTCACCTGCATTATCAACTGAAAATGAAAAACGGATAAGTAGGATATAATCAAGCAGACCGCACCAAAACTTACCTACAAAAGAAGTTCCAAGAGCTGATGTCACTTATCTTCTCATGTCCTACAGGTCCATCATCAAAATATATAAAAAACTTTGGCCATCCAAGAAAGAAATCAGATCAGAAAGCTAGTTAGACTGGACTTTAGTTTATTTTCGAGAGTGACTTGGAGTTACAGCAGAAATTGTTAAACTAATGTAGGTTCAGGGTTCAGGTTTTTCGTGTTTTGATATTTTGTTGCAAAATCTTAAGTACGAAAACAAATTGCCAACATAGGGATTTTATCAATCATTCCAAATGTAGAAATATTGAACGAAACAAACTGTGAATACCCCAACAATTTTTCCCCCTTTTAGTGTACATCCTAAATTAGCTACCGATTTACTAGTCGAGTGTCAGTTGTGTGCCAATGCGTGCAAAAATGTTCGTAACGATTAATTGTTAATGTTAATTCTAAGTTTTACTCTTTTAGCTGCTTTTGTTTTTCTTTCTGATTTTTAAGGTCACATTGTTTATATCACTGAAAATGTAATTTAATGTATTTTAACTTAATGCAACGCGAAATTAAAAGAGAACTAAACGAAAGTATAAGTAAAAGAAGAGGAAAAGATCATTTGATGTCACCTTAAACTTAATAACTAATATTCTGCGAATAAAGCTTTTAAAATATCAAAAAGTTTGTTATTTATCAATCGTGATTTATCATCTAAAGCTACGTATTAATTTATATATATATATATCATAAGCCTATGTCTGTGTAAGTGAATTGATGCGTATGAAATCTACAACTAAGTCTAAGAACTCTAATGTTCAACCTCAACTTGATTCCCTACTAGGTCATTTTTGCCTACGTCCCACCATTTTCTCTCGGTTCCAACTGCAATGTCTGTGTGCGCTATATTTCGAGATGGATTGTACTAGTAATGGGTGAGTTTTGATGCTTGTCCTATGAAAACGAAATTCGAGTCGTGGTTTATGCCAGAAACCATTTCAAACAGTCGCCTGCTTCCTTGCGAAACGAAGCCTAGGTATCCGTATAAAATAACAATTAGACTATCAACTAACTAACGCACATGTCGGGAGGGGTCTCGGGATTGGGGATTGTAGGAGTTTACTTTTACTGCTTAGAGGTAATATCAAATGCATTCGCCGGGATTCTGGGCACAGTATTTGGGAAACAGGGCCTCAGCCCGAATTCCCAGTTCGACGAGTCGATTTCGGAACAAGGAGATCCTGCGGAATACATCTGGCGGCACTATGTCCATGTCGTGATCATCGCTAGGATCGGTCCACAATCGCTCGGCCAGAGCGGCTGAACGTGGCCACAGCCGATTGTCCAGCTGGTTCTCATCCACCTGCTCGGTCCACATGCACACCTCGCCGCCCAGCACCTAAATAATTATTATAAATTGATAAATAATATCTAATTTATTTGGATTATTTATATTGCTGAGCCCACCTGCTTCTTGCGCTTCTTGTCCAATCGCATCCGCTCCCAAGGCCGGTGCTTGTAGACATTCTGCCAAGTGCGGTAGGGAGCACAGGCCGCATCCCCGGTGGCCCGCCAACTGCCGAAGCCGCAGTCCAGATACCAGGCGTCCACGTGCGAGAAGATCACGTTGTAGCCGTTGTCCAGCAGGTCGTAGTTCTCCTGCCAGGTGCTGCCGCCCCAGACCTGAACGGCGAATTGACTGTTTGGAAGACACTTGGTGTTGGTCAGGGCGCTCGACCAGACGGCCACGTACTTGGGTGCCACACCATTGTTGGCTAGTTTAAGTCTGCGGGTTGGAGTTATGATTATTTAATTGTGGAATTATTTTATGATAATCTAACGCTCACCTGGCCATTGCCTGCAGCATGAAATCGCACCAGAGGCCTCGCAGATCCGTGTCGTTGAAGTACTGCGCCCAACAATCCAGATTCACCTCGTCGCCGCCCAGGTGAAAGAGGTCCGTGGGCCCCGTGTGTTGCAGCAGCTCCTCGTAGAGCCGCTGCAGAATGAGGTAGGTGTGGTTGTTCTTCGGATTCAGCTGACCGCACGGCGGTTCGCCGCAGTAGAAGCTCCACGGCTGCTGGTTGATGCACATGGCCAGCTCGCCCATTCCGCGTTTGGGTCCCCAATCCCAGCCGTTGCCCGCATGGGCGGGGGCATCGATTTCGGGTATGACCTGTACGCCATAGATCTTGGCAAACTCGGCCACCTCGCGCACATCCTGCTCCGTGTACGTCTCGCTCTCGGAATAAGCACCATGCTCGGCCAGCTCTGGGTAATACCGCGAAATGTAGGGGAAACTCTGGGCATCCGTGAGATGCCAGTGAAAGCGGTTTAGCTTGGCCAGTCCCATGGCCACAATCGTTCGCTTGATGGACTCCACCGAGAAGAAGTGACGCGAGGTGTCAAGCATCAAACCGCGATAGCGGAACTTGGGGGCATCCTTCACCTTGCTGTTGGCGTACGTGTGCAGCAGGTGATCCTCGTCATCGAACCAGATCAGTTGCTGCAGCGTGGACAGTCCATGGCGGGCTCCGAAGTACGAGTTTGCAATGATCTCCACCTGCAGGCGGTGTCCATCGGCTGTTCAAGAATTGTATAAATTATTATTTCAATTTATAACAACTTTCCCCTACAGATTACTCACTTATGGAGCTCAGTTGATAGGTCTCATCGTTGTCCAGACTAAAGTCAAGGTCTCCGGACTTGTGCACGCTAATCTTGACCTGAACGCTGGTCAGATCCCCTTCCTGCTTCAACCCAAAGGTGGCTCCAAAGAGCGTGGCTGCCGGTTCCACATCCGCATGACGCCTGGACTTCGATGAGGACTCACTGACCGTCGGTTCCGATGAACTGCCGGCGTAGTCCAGCCGCTGGATGTGCCGCAGATCCTTGAGGAACCAGTCGAAGGCCAGCTGGAGCTGCCTGCGCACCTCACGATGCGACGTGTCCACCTGCAGCTGCACATCCTCCACGGAGAAGCTGTGCGTATGCGAGCTGAGCACATATTTGTGGGTGGGATGCGGCCAAATGTTGATGTCACCGCACGTCATCGAGCAACTGATGAACGAGACCCGCTTGGCGGATTTGCCATGATGACCCACCCGAATGCATCGTTCATTCTCACACTTGTACGTCCAGGACCTCTCGACGGGTCTGCAAAAACGAAGAGTGATTAGTGGGAGTCTGACTGGGAGTGATTGGCATGTGGCACTCACATGGGAAAGGCACTGGCATCGTGATGGCTGTGGGGGCGTTCCAGCGCCTCGTTGTAAGCCTGGGCCTTGTTGGCTCCTTGGTTCCAGTAGAGCACCGTCAGGATGAATATGGCGCCGGAGAGGAGCACCAAAAGAGCTCGGCGCAGCGATACAGCCAGGGACATCTTATAGAGATAGCGTAGGCTGGAAAAAGAGGAGAAGTATGAATTAGTCACTTGAAAATTCGGTTATATTAAATTAAAGTTTATAAGAAAATGTAGAAATCTCACGGGGGCGTTATGACGCTCTCAAAAGTGTCATAAGGCCCGTACAAATCCCCCTTAGAGTTGCTTTAACTACTCAAATTGGGACACATATCTTAACTATATTTGTAATAATCTTATAGAGATAGCGTTGGCTGGAAAAGAGGATAAGTATGAATTAGTCACTTAAAAATTCGGTTATATTAAATTAAATTCTATAAGAGAATATAAAAATCCCCCTTAGAGTTGCCTAAACCCATTTAACAACTCAAATTGGAACACATCAGCTAACTATATTTGTAATAATGAAAACTTAAATAGCCCAAGATGGAACTCAACTCCCCTGATCCCCATTTAACCTACTTTCTGGCCTCGCCCCCCGCCCACCAGTTGACATCATCTGGCTTTTGGCCGCTTGCCTGCTGGCAACTGGTTCAAAGAACTGAGACAGTTAAGCAATAATGCACAATAGCAGGTCGTGTCGCAAGACAATGGGCCACCACCACCACCAGACCCGCCCTGAAAATCGTTCAGCTCGGTCGTCATGGGGGACAGGACACATCGAACTTTAATCAATGCTCGCGACTTGGGCTTGACGAGCGATAAAATCAAAGGAAACCCGAGGAGCCGGGGTCCGCCACATGCCATTTAGTGGCAATTGTTTGTCCTCGGCGACCGCGATGTCCTCACGCCAATACAAACGCACACATGGTACATCCACCTTTGCCTCTGCACGCAAGGGAATCGGGTCTCCAGTGGCAATGGCGCCTGGCTGGCAACATAATGAAAAATCGAAGACAGTTCCGTATACAAACATTCGGGTCCGCGACATGGCAGCTCACTTTGGGGCACAAAAATACGCAACGTACGTATATCCCATAATAAATTGAAGTTTTTAAAATTCTAATTTGATTGGATATGAATAAATTGCTTGATTTGGTTGGACGTTAGAAGTAGTGAAAGAAAACGAAGAGTTCTGATGTTTCTGTTTTTGGGAAACGGAAGTTTGGGGCTGTACTTTTGTACCATATACCATTTAAAGTTGGGACCTGCTTAATTCAAAATAGTTATTTTATTTCATATCAATTAAAAGCCAATATGATTTATGTGAAATTTATGATTCAAACATATTAAACTTAATATTTTATCAAATCATATGAAATACCAAACAAATAATGTAAAATAAGATAAACTTAATCTTTATTCATATCAAAATTATATGCACATATCAATCTGATCTTCTGTCAATTTTTTGATTGTGTTTATAAATATATTCCTTGTAAGTTATGTATATTCTTTGGATTTACCAAATACTTCAGATTTATCCCCTTCTCAAAGTGTGTTTCCTTTACAAGTGAAACCTGCGTGTCCACCCTAAACACCATATTCCTGTCTATCCCCATCCCGTATCATACTTGTAAGGTAACCTGTAATTCAGCGTTTTATGCTTCCTTATCGATTTCAAATCAAATTACTTAACAAATGTGCGGGGGACCCATAAATCCAAATGTGATTTTATATATTTTTAGGGCGGACACTTTTAAACTTTGCATAGACGAAGAACGAGGGCGAGACCTTGCCACCAATGGAGCAAATGGAGAGTTGAGAATAGAGAATGGTGCCTGGCGCCGGGTATCGTGACGCTGCTTTTCCTCACGACTGGGTGATTACGGTGGGCGGTACACACCTGTAATGCAGTGGCAAAATCAACAAGGACCTGCAACCTTTGCGTGCGACTCCAACGATCGAAGCTGCCACGGGTGAGACCTTAAAATTTTCATTACGCTTCATGTGAAAATATGAAATACTTTCGCAGGTCATGCAACACAGGTGAATTCACCTCACCATTCGGGGGAACCTTTATTTCCAGTTGCCACTGGCAACTCGGATGGGAGGTTGAATGTGGCAGCTTGGCAGCTGGTGCTCCAATGCAATGGACGTGCTCTTAGTTGTGGCCTGGTCCCATCATTACCTTGATGGTCGTGCATAATAAATCAACAGGCATGCATAATTAATGCTGCCAATGCTTGAAAAAAAGGACAAGAAGCGGGAGGAGCGGAGGAGAAGGTGTGCGGCGGCAGGAAAGGATTGCTTGAATGTGACAGCCTCATTAGTTTCCACACAGCACGCATACGACTGTCAAAAATATTTGTACAGAGTGTAGCATACATTACAGCGTTTTTGTTGTTTTTTTCAGTTTGCCACTAAACCAGTTGCAAAGATAGTTATTTTGAAAGGTATATTTAAAAATTATTTATTCATCATAATAAGTAAAGGAATTTAATGAATAGTTTTAGCCATGGATTAAATAAATCATAATACTTGGTCTAAGAAGTTTATCGGTTTGAGGAAAGGTTTAAAAATTATTTTTTTGAAGATTTTACAGACACTATGGAAAGTATTTAACTGAGTTTATTTTAAATAGATTTTCTAGACTACCAAAAATAAAAATATAATATAAATATTTTTATTAAAAATCCCCAAATTAAAATGCTACTTCCTAAATATTATAATTTAACTTTATCCCAATTATTTATCGTTTAGTTAGGAGTAAGTTCCCTCGGCTTACCCGCAACGCGTGCGCAGAGCGGTGCTCGAAAGTGACCAGAAGCGCCCGAAACTATCCATCATCAGAGGGCCCGTCGGTGGGTGGCCGCCACCGCATGTCCTCGTGCCCCTGCAACACCGCTGCCCCGAAAACAGCGAGACGCTCTAATGAGTCACGTTGCCAGTTGCCAGCTGCCAACTGTTGAGGGGCGGCCTAACACACAAAAAGGCGACCGACGACCGACGCCCGCTGCTTTTGCTCCTTCTCCAGCTGGGTGTCCCCTGAATTGACAAATTTCCTTTCACACAAATCTAAAATTATGCCAGAGATGGAAAACTACAAAATGCTGGCAACTTTTGTGTGTCGTTCACGGCCGTTGAGCGGCAGAAAAAAGCGAGAGAAATAATAGAAGCAACCACGCGGACGTGCTCTTAAGCGCGCGCGACACTCGAGGAGCTGGCAACAACTACGGCCCAACTATAACTATTAAGCCGCCGACGTTGCGCGGATTTCAAGACGCTCGAACGCCGACGACGCCGTCAACAAACAGTTGGCACGGCCAAAAACACACTCGGAGCGAAAGAGAGGGGGATAGGTGCACAGGGAGAAATAAAGCTAGGCATAGAATTTGCATACGAAAAATAAAAAGAACTTTCCACTGTTGGATTTTCCGCAGGCAATGCTTTATAAGCTTACGTTTCTGTGTGCGTTATTACATTTTATGAGATAGATAAAAAGATTGAAATTTTTTAACAATAGATCTTTTGAAAAATTTTCTAAAATTTTTGAAAACAAAAAATTGAAATATATTTTTAATTTAGGCTTTTATTTTACTAAAAATTTACAAAGTTTTGTTCCACCTTATTTAGATTCTTCGTCCGATAGTATCAACACTATACGAGGGCTGTCTGATAAATAACCGACCTAACCATGATGCACGCGACTTTTTCAAAAAATTTTTTTTTATTTTTCTACATAGTCTCCTTGTAACTGAACACACTTCTCCCAGCGATGCTCCCATCTCTGCAACCCTTCCAAATAGTACTTGACGTCTTTGTCTGCAAAATACGAGTTCACGAAAGAGATTGCCTCCTCATTTGACGAAAATCTCTGGCCGCCGAGCGCAGTTTTAAGTTGAGGAAACAAAAAAAAGTCGCTTGGTGCTAGATCCGGTGAATAAGGTGGATGGTCAAGCAGTTCGAACCGCAATTCGTGGATTTTCGCCATGGCGACTGTTGAGGTGTGAGATGGGGCGTTGTCTTGGTGAAACAAGACTTTCTTTTTTTGCAAATGTGGCCGATTTTTCGAAATTTCTTCCTTTAGCTTGTCCAATAATGATGCGTAGTATGCTCCTGTTATAGTTTTTCCTTTTTCGAGATAGTCGATAAAAATAATTCCATGGCTGTCCCAAAAAACACTCGCCATCACTTTCCCAGCCGAATACACAGCTTTGGGTTTTTTGGGGCCGGTTCCCCCTTTTCAATCCACTGTTTAGATAGGATTTTTGTTTCGGGCGTATAATGATGAATCCAAGTTTCGTCTACAGTTATCAATCGGCGCCAAAACTCGGTCTTATTGCCTCTAAACTGAGCCAACAGAGCGCTGGAAATGTTCATGCGCGCACGTTTGTGGTCTAACGTAAGCAAACGCGGCACCCAACGCGCGGACAGCTTTCTCATGCCCAAATCTTGGTTTAATATGTGACAAACACGTTCTTTTGACATCTTCATAATCTCAGCTATTTCCCTAACTTTAATCCGGCGGTCGTCTAGTACCAATTGATGAACTTTAGCGATGTTATCGTTAGTGGTTACAGTTTTTGGACGCCCAGGACGTTCATCATCTTCCAAGCTCCTGCGACCACGTTTAAATTCAGCTGCCCAAAATTTTACGGTGGTAAACGATGGTGCAGAGTCACCATACACAGAGTCCAACTCATCTTTGATTTGTGAAGGCGTATTGCCTTTCAAAAATAAAAATTTAATTACAGCTCGATATTCAATTTTTTCCATTTTGGGGAAATCACCGAAATAGACTCACAAAAACGACTGTCAACAGATAATTGCGCAAGATAAATTTCTGAAATTTTGGCGAGTAGCTTTTATAATATGCACAATTTGAAGTAGACACTTTTTTTTCAGATGTGCCGCTATCTTGACGTTGAGGTCGGTTATTTATCGGACAGCCCTCGTATGTATATTTTTAGATCCAACTTTTTCGATTTGAAAGTTGTATAACTCGTTACCTTTTTAGTTAAGACATTCTCAAATAATTCATAAATATTTTAAATATAAATATAATATTAAGCTATTGAAAAGCTCTTTGTTGAATATAAAAATTCATATTTTTCTGTGCACACAGCAGAGAAACCAGAAATAATAGAGCGGGGCGGCAAAAATGGCGTGCAACTATTTACATATGTTCTTGAAAGCGTCGGGCGACTGTGCCTGTGATTGTATGCACCTGGCCTGGGTATACGGTATACCTATAGTTATAGCTATAGAGCTATGGCAGGACCAATCTACTCTGCCGCCCCCGAATATTGGGCACTCCCCATTCGCGCCGCGCGAATGCCCATTTAAATGTTTGCGCAAGGCGAGTGCATCATAAATTAAAAGCAAATTTGCCGAAAATAATACATGAATTTCAATTAGTTGCTAACGGCTGGCAATTATGATGATGATTGCAAGCGGGTGCTATAAAACGCGGCCGATATGCAAATATTATACATTTTCAGAATTGTTTCAATAATGTTCTACATTTTTCAGATGGGGTATGTTGAAATGTATAATAAATGGGGCGCATTAGGAACATTCTGGTGGCGGAACAAATGGTATTTTAATTTTATTGCTATCGATAAAGTAATCCTTTTACAAACCTTGATTTATTTGCTGATGTAATTTAATATTTTCCTTTATAATTTTAGTTTCCTTTCTTTTTTTTAATTTTTCATATAAATGCAACAGTTCAACACCCTTTTGTGCCAACATAATTGGCCTGCATTCCTTTGCCGCATCACGCATACGCAGCGTGTGACGCTGTGCAGCATGTTGCATGCTCAATATGCGCGGCATGGACTGTTGCTTCTGAGTCGCATTATTATTTATGGCCGCATGCCGTGAAAAATGTCAGTTGGCGACAAGTGTTGTTCAAATGGCATGCACGGTTGCCACAACAACAACAACATCGAAATAGTAGTAGCAGCAGCAACAACAACAGCAATAATGACAACCCATATGGGACATACAAAAGCATTTGGCGCTCAATTTGACGTGAAACGTGCAGGAACAGAGGGATACAAAGGGAAGCTCAATACAAATAGCCGTGCTTGGCCTTTGTCGTCGACATATCCTTTTTCCACCCGCTGCCACCGCCACCGCCCCCCAAAAAAGCTAGAGAGGGAAAGCTGCAGAAAAATGGGCAACGCAACTTGTAACAGGCAACCAGCAAGCAGCAACAGGAACTTAAAGCCAGTAGCCATCAGCCAGTAACCAGTAACCTCAGCAGGCAGCGGCCAAAACACCCGAAGTGCAGAGCCCAAGCCGAAGGCTCGCTCACTCGGTTACCAAGGCAACTTCGTCGGGCTCACAACAAAAGGATAAGCCAAGCCAAAGTCCTCGGGACAGGACGACCAGCCAGCAAACTAGTCAGCAAGTCAAGCCGGAGCTCAGTTGCAGCAGCGCAACGCATTTGCCCAGACGCACAACTCGCGATTCGCGGCCAAAACCAAGAGTTACGGAAATAGACTTGCCTTGGCCATCGATCGTTCTAACAGCTGCACTCGGAAAAAAACAGGATAATATTCTTAAGTTAATTAAATACAAATCCATATCAAGTTCTCATATCAGTTATTCAAAATTTATGACAAATAAATAACCCAATGTGTTAAGAAGAACTACATATTTCTAGAACGGAAAAGCAGCGAATTTAATTCCACAAAAAAATCAATAAGAATTTATTAGTGCAGTGCAAAATGTTCTTTAAAATATAGAAAAGAAAACAAAAGAGGACTTGAAAAAGCTTTTCTTTATAATCTCAAAATAAATAATAATATATCTCAAAGATCTAAAAAAATTTGGTTTAATTACTATTTTTGAAAGTGAACAACCCTCAAATATTTAAAAAAAAATTTTAAAAAAGAGGTAAATGGCTCCTAAATATTTCCAAGATATTTCTGTACCAATAAAATATTTGCAAACGTGAAAAAATGTACAAACGTCGTTTCAAAAACCCAATAAATTTCGTTTTCGCGTAGTGTTGCCGTGCGACTTGTGTTGCTGTCGTGCTAGAATTTCCGTTGCCTTCGGGTCGTCGCTCGCGAGGGCTTACTCCTGGCAGTCGCCTTTCGTCCTCGCTGCGGTCTAGAGCCCTAGCCTCCTAGCTTTCGCTTCTAGCCAGGCTAGATGCGCCTCGTTCGGTGCTAAAGTGTGCGTGCTAATGGCAGTGTAATGAGTGCGCCGTGCTAATCGTTATGCAATCGCCTAGCTTCGATTTCCAGCCGCAGTGAAATATGTCTCTCAAGCGTTATGCAACTCTGCTGGCCTTCGGTCAGAATCTAAATCAAAATAACACAATACCGACATTGGTGGTTTCCACAACGGAGGGGATTCCATCATCATCGTCATCCGCATCCTCGTTATCGTATGGAAGCTTCGCTAGCGAGGAGCAGCTGCAGCAGTCCCAGGAGCATGTCTCGTCCTCATCCTCGATTGCCACACACACCACCTACTATACCGGCGGATTGGGACAATATCATCAGCAGCGCGGTGGCTCAGGATCTGTCATTTCGGGCGTGGGCGGCGGTGGAGGACCTAGTGGACCCCAGACATATGCAAATGTTGTCAACGGCAATGTGAATCTGCTGCTCGGCGGGTAAGTCTGACAGCTGAAACAACTGACTGATGGCTGACTGGAGGAGCAGTCAGAGCCAAGTTCAAGAGATGAGCCAAGGTGAGGCTCGTGGGAAATGCGAAAGAGTGGCACACATATCGTGGATGCAACTTTTTGGCAAATAACTAAGAATTCCCAGCAGTCATTGGGCAATTAATTAATTAGAGTTTCCAAGGAAAGTTTGAACGAAACCATTCAAATATTTACAATTTTGAAGAGCTCCAGTCACTTTAATATTATCATTACGGACATTCTTGTTAACTAATAGCTTATTCCCAAAAGTATGTTTGCCATCAAATAACTCAAGTTAACCAGAAAGAGAGATGTGTAATTTGAAAACATACCTTTCCCGGCAACCGCAAGTCAATTATTTGAATGTTTATAGCAGGTCGTAAATTCCAGTGAAATGCCTGCAGTAATTGCCCAACTTGTGTAAGCATTTAAGAAGGATATTACAAGAAGCTCGCATAGATCATAATGCTTGGCACCGCTTGATTTATGGGATGGGGCTGCAAATTAATAAACATCAACATTTTCGCCGCCTGCAAGCGAAGATGTCAGGCTTCCGCTTTTCCGCGAGGCGGGAAAATAATAATTACGATTTTTCTACTTTCGGTTTTCTTCTTTCGGGGAAACCCAAGCATCCTTTCTTTTTAGTACAATTTTTTTTCCTATGCAACACGAGCTTTTTTTTTTGTTTTACGAATAACCCAACAATGTACATTTTGTCAACACAATTTTATGGGGTTTTCTTGATGTCTGTAAACATCACGCTCCTCACAAACCGAAAAACTTTATTTTAACTACATTTTTATCGATTGCCTCGGGCAGTTCATTGAAAATAGCTCGAATAAAAACTTGGACTGGGGGGAAATCGCTTCACATGCCGCTCTGTTGTCTGTTTTTCGCCTCTGCGAAATGGGAAGGTTGGAAAAACTCGGCCCAAAAGAGGGCCTTAATGAACTGTTGACATGCGAGAAATTGCGTGAACGGGGGAAAATGAACAGTCAAAAAAAAAGGAAAGAGAACATAAAGGACGAAAGGGGGGAGTGGAGTGGGGAGGACAAACACTGGACAGACAAGTGGGACACAATGTTGCATTCTAAAGTGGATTAACTGACGTCATGGAAATGCCTCGAGCTACGAAATCGACACGAAGCGATTTCCGACTAAATAAACCAGTGGGTTTCAATAAACCGACACAAATTGGCCGACAGCGCTAAAAGGAAAATTTGATAACTGGCAATCAGGCTGATAGTGGGGGGCATTTTGGATTTATTGACAGATTTCGAGAATTGTTATGGCTACACCTTTCAAAATGATCGCATAAAAGAATTGTAGCTCTATAAAATTACGAAATTTACCTCGACTATCAGATACCCGTTACTGAGGTTTAGAAAGTGCAAGGGAGTTGGAGATATCCATTCAGCAAAGCAACTGCTTGCACTGCGTGAATTTAATTATTTGCTCATATCTTTTAAATTAATGTTCCGATTTGAAAAGTTTCTTTTACATTTCGATAATACCTATACTTTTCGACAAATACAATATACACTTTTCTCACTACTCTTCGAGTACTTATTTTACAGCTATTATAATTCGGAAATTCTATTTCTTTAACAAATCCATTGTTTGATAAACAGCACACATCATAAGCGTTCATTCAAGTTTAATCCTTTCTACACATAATCTGCTTATTGAAAACAATTTGTCGACACACAATAGAAATTAAGTTTGCTAATCCTATTGAATTTCTGGCGTTAAATCAAAGCAAACTCGATAAAACAATAAGATAGGCAAAACACTGTAGTTTCTTAGATTAAATTAGGGCACAAAACGGAGAATGTGCACACAAATTTGCTAAGGAGGGAGGGCTTTTAGGATCAAGTTAGTTGACAATACTCTCAATATTCCATACAAACTTATCAACAGTTGGTTTTGCCTTTTGTTTGGCCTGAAATTAAATTGAGAGCTAGAATGAAAACTATGCTATCTAATTAAAAGCACAAGGCAAGGAAAGTAATTTCCGCTCTGTTGATGTATTGAAGTCAAAATTTTGCTGGCAATTTATGCTATCAATATGCAGGCAGAGGACACAAACGGGCCAAAGTAAATAAATTAATATACAAGCATTTGCAATTTGTTCGACAAAATTAATAAATGCCAAAAACGTTATTAATATGATATTATCATGATGGGCTGGCCATTTATCTGAGTCCCGCAATCAATTTCGTGTCAGCGCCCAAAGCAAACAGTTCGACAAATATACATGTGTGGCCGATATCCGTGGAATAACATTGCATTCACACAGCCCCCATTCGATTAAATTTGTTGCAGGGCGATGCTTTCCCTGGTGACGACCGTATTGTGTGTGGTCTGCTATTGTTGTCATCGAAATATCAAAAAGCGAACAGAGGCGGCCTACAGACAGCAGCAGCACCAGTGGCTCGAAGGCGATCCCAACATGGAAATATACAGCGTGGAGCAGGTGAGTTGCGCATAAATACATGGCTCCCAATATCAATGTCCCTGGGACCTCGGGGTTTTAGAACCTTTGTTGTCCGGCAGCCAATAATAACAAACGGACGTCAACGGCATTCCAAATAGTTGGCTACAATGGAAGAGGAAATCTAAACCAGCTGAACCAGTGGAATTTAATTAAATCTAGCAAAGGGATTCCCATTTGTTTATTTTATTCTATTATTGTGACAATAATTAGGAAGTGAATTAATAGTTTAAAAAATAATAGAATAGTAGAATAGGGAGTTTGAATCTTACAGTGAAAATAAATAAGAAATAATGTAACAATTCTTTTATATGTCATTCTTTAATTTTAAAAGGACTTTTTCTAGTGCTAGAACCCAAACTAAAAGACTTTAATCAAAATAGTGTAGAAAAATAGAGGTAACTAATTTATTTCTATCAGTTCACTTGACGAATTACTTCAAAGCCAAAATGAATACAAACAACAACAATAACCTATTTAAATTTCAATCGATTAAACGCTAAAAATCAATTAGCGGCTATTAAGCTTAAGTGCTGGCTAAAAAGAGTGTAAACAAACAGGGTATTAAGCAAAACACACAATAAACTTTCCCTGCAACCCATTTATTTTTCGATTTGAACTTCAATCAAATCAACCTCAACCTCGTTTCCCAATTAGTGGCTAAAATCACAATTACGCCAAAGAGAGAAATAATACTATCCAACAGGCAATTGGGTCCTAAAACCACCACAACAGTAATTGTACTTTTTCAAGTTTAAGCCAACATTTTATAAGGACAGTTTTGAAAATAAGTCGCAAACTGAAAGTGAGAGTAGGAAAAGGGCAAGGGAAGGGCAGGGCTATAATGGATATTTATGCGGCGCATTTAACAGGTGCGACAACCACGGGAAAGTGAGTTGACCAAAGGGGCGCGACCATTGTGGTTGGCCCATAGCCACAGTGCAAGTGGCCCAGAAGCCGCACTCACTTGGCCGTGGGCTTTATTAAGTTACAAGCCGCCAACAGCTAAGACCTCCCAATCCGACCTTAGCCACCCACTAACCACCAACCATACCACCCACCCACCCCATAGGCCATCATTCAGTTCATTGTTGTTTGTTGGGCCGTTGGGAAACGAGGGACAAAAAAAAAACAAAAACGCCGGCAAAGGGCTCCGCGTAAATCAACGTTAGCCTGTCCAGGCACAAATGTCAACTGCGGACAGATGAAGACGGGATTTCTAGGCGGAGGGGAATGGCAATAAGATGGGTTTGCAGATTGCGCGGCAGAGACAAATAAATTTATGATGTGTGCAATTTAAACTTTTTTATTTGATCGCGTAAATTTCACTTGTCCAGCGCGTCTCCATTAAGAAGGTAAATTACAGAGCGACCAAGCGGAGATCGGCAATTATTCACAGCCTTGGGGTATGTGGAACAGAAAAAGGCTTTTTTGGATAGGAAAGTTAGAGATCTTTGTTGATAGAAAAGGTTTTAAAGGTGGAGCTCCGTTTAATATATATTATTTTTAAATATTCTAATACTCAACTGGCTTAATGTTTCCAGTGATAAACAAGAGAGAACGCTATAGTTGATAACTTTGATTATCACATACCTATTACTCAGCTCAAGGGAGCGCGAGGGAGATGGAGATTTGCTGTCGTCAAACTTACTAGAGCCATCTAGCGGCTGTTTAAATTTTTGATGGCTCCATCTAGCGGCTGCTTTTAATTTTTGATCATAACTTTTTAATGAATGGTCCGTTTTCAAAAATTACTTCAACATTTTGATAAATATTTTTAAACACAACAAAATTGCTTTTAAACTTTTCCCAAAATTTAGCCACATTCTTATAATTTTTTGTTAAGCTCTTTTCCTTATTGACTTTAATACTGTTCCGTTTCTTTCAGTGCTACGAGACATCTGGCCTGTTCCTGGGCGACTCCACCGATGGCCTGTCCGCCGTGCCCGCCCTGCACCACGAACCGCCGCCCTCTTACGATGCCGTCGTCCTCCACGAGCAGCAACTCCACCAGCAACAACTGGAGCAGCAGCAGCAGCAACAACTGCAGCTGCAACTGCAACAGCAGCAGCAACTCCTGATGCAGCGCGTCTCGCCGCCGCCCGGATATCGCTCCTCATTGGACATTAGCGGCCAGCCGGGCACGAGCTTCGGCCGGGGAACCCCCGATGGCAGTGTGGATGCCGTGGCCGGGGCATCGGGATCGGGGGGATCCGGTGGCCTGCTGGTCAACAAGCAGCTGCAGCTGGCCCTGAATGCCCAATCCTGCTGCTCGCTGCAGCGAGCCGAGGTGGAGAGCATGTGGAATGCCGCGGCGGCGGCGGTGGCAGCCCGGAGCGGAAATTGCCTGGAAATGGAGACGCTGCAGGTGCGAAAGCCGGCGCAAAATATCCGGATGAACACCTTCGGGCGGCGGTACCTGCAGCAGAGCCATCAGCATAGCGGAAACCACTACCGACGCGGCTGTCCGCTGTGCGGCAAGTTCCGCTACGAGGGTGAGCCGGAGGATGAGCCGCTGACCGCTCTGTCCGTGGAGAGCGGTCTGAATATGGGCGGTCGCAGGGAGGAGGAGGATGGGCCCGCCCTTTGCCCCTGTCCCAGCGACATCGATAATGGCAACCACATATCGGCCGAGGCTCTGCAGGATGAGGATGTGGATGCGGATGAGGCCAACGGGAATGTGGAACCACCTCAAAATGAAGCCATACCCATAACCGCCGTCAATGATGAAAATGACAACGCAGCAGCAACGGACACACCAGCAACATCCCAAATATCCGAAACATCCCACACATCCAACGATGGCAGACAGCTGAAAACGGAGGATGAGCTTCAGGAGGATGGGGGACAGGCCGCGGGACAACAGGAGGAGCAGGATTTGAACAGCATTAACGAGAACGGCATCATCAGCCTGGACATGAGCAAAATCATTGACAGATCGGGCCTGCCCACATACGAGGGAGCCATCAAACTGGAGTCCAGCGGTTATGTGTGAGCCTAACGAGGCTGCAAACAGAAACCTAAACCACAAGTGTGCTTTAACTATGATTAAGATAAGTTGCAATTGGTCGAAAGTCATGAAAGTCAAGATATTATTTGAAAAGTTATTAAGGAACCTGTTGGTTTTCGGAACACAATGATTTAAGTGGTTCTTAACTGCTTATGATAATTATCAAATTATAATTATGATAAAGCAGCCGAGCAAAAGCACTCTTAAACTAAGCATTTTCAAGTTCTAACAATAAGATGGAACATATTAAGCAAACACGAAAACAATAATTTTAAATGTTTAAATGTTTAGAGCTAAGCGCGTGCATATCCCTGTAAATGTAAATGTTCGTTTCGAATACTCGTATCAATAAAATCAAAAGTTGTAATTGAAAGCAACAAGCGATTTAATAAGCAACCTCAATCCGCAACCTTCGCCTGAATAAAACACACGGGCAATGTTTTCAGTTTATAATGCTCGGTTGAGCGCAATCCGATTGATTTTGTATTAAATACAGGGCGAGGAACGCAGAAAGATGATAAAATAAAAAACGAAACCAGAGCAAAGAATGGCATGCAAACAAATCGTCAAAGACAACGGCTAACAAGCTGCAAGATAACAGGCCACACCACCCACTGGCCACCCCCTGTTTTTCCCACCCCCTTCGATTTTCCGCTTTCCTTTTCACCGCACTTACCTCAGACAAACAACGGGTTTGTGTCTCTGTCTCTTCGTCTGGATCATTTGCATGAAGAGAGCGAAGGGAAGTTCAAGGGGGAAAAGTGTGACCAGGTCGGCTAAGCGATTCCCTAACTTAAATATTTTAGTGGGTTGTGTGAATTTATTGGGCAAATAGTGTTAAATATTTTACATTTCAAAATAAACCATATAAAAAATGCAATTGAAGGTTACACTCATCAAATATGCAAAGAAGCTGTCTCACAGAAAAAAACAATTTCAAATATCAAGTATACGTCAAAATTCACCCTGTTTAATTAAGCTCTCCTAAATATCAAGTTCGCCCACTTAGGAACAGCTCAAAATATAAAGCACACATATCAAGTATTTTATCAAACGCAGCACTGCTTCAAAGAACATTAAGTATACGCACCGTTATCCCCCACTCAGAATAACTTGATTGAAATTCAAGTAGTGCAAGGGTATTCGGGGAAACAAATCGTTTACAATTGCGGGTTCTGTTTTTCTGTGCGGTCAAGCGATGACAAAACGAAGGGGGCGCTTCCCTTAACTACCTTTCTTTTGCCCTCGTGCCACATTGAAATGGTAACAAGAAACTTGTTAGTTGGCTCTCATCATTGTGCACAATTTCATTTGACATCAGGTGCAGGGGTAACAAGCTCTCGGCGTTTATGCAACCTTGAAATGCTTAAGTGGGTGGTGGGTAATTTATGTAATTATGCATGCATCGACGGCAAAGCCTGAGTTACACTTGAGATCACATTAAAGCCAACTTCTGTGTATGCAAAGCAGCCCCAATCGAAGATTCTAAAAATCTGTATTAAATTCATATTTCGTTTAGCACTCGTACCGTCGTGTCAGCAGCATTTGAAACGCTTCCGTTGAATTTTTCACGTGAGCACCGGCAATAAATACAAACAACTTAATTTTGGTTTATTTATGGCCATGCCAGCGAGATTTCTGGGCGGCGTATTAACACACTTTCGATGATCCGGCCAAGAGGAGCGCGCTTTGTTGATAATTGCAAACAACTGAAAGCGATGCGTCTGCCGTTGACGGCGGCACAACAAGTCGCAGCCGCCGCTGCTGCTGCTGCTGCTGCCGAGGAAAATGGGTGGGAAAATGGGGGGAAAATGGGTGGGAAAATGATAGAAAAGAGAGCGCCAGACGCCTGGCCTGCTAATGTGCATGTGTGTGCAGGGCAAACAAAATAGAGCGAACGAGAGCTGAAAATGAAACTGAACCGAGCTGAACTCATGGCGGCAATGGGGTGGGATTGGGCGGCATTGGGCGGCACTGGGTGTTTTTTAGGTGGCATCACAAACTGCGCAGCGCCGCTTGACCCTTTCCATTGCCCCCCCTCCACCCGGTTCGATTTATTAATAACACCACAAGAGGCACAAGAGGCGATGGCGAATGGCAAATTTCAGGTTTGATGGCATGGGTTTGTGAGGTGTGAGCAGAAGCACTTTGCCAACTGCCTCTCGTATTTATAATTGCTGCAAATTGCCGCTTAAAAACTTGTGTTCCTGCCGGGGCATCGGGCCAAACTACTCGAGCCACTTACGACGATGTCATCATCATCATCATCGTCAGCATCATCGCATCAGCATCGCTGGGAGTGCCAGGCACGTGCTTAAAAATAGACTCCATTGGGTCACTAAATATAAACCATTTGGCATTTGGTATGACCTAAAAATTCAGATCGAAATGGTAAGAACAAAACTCGAAATCTCAAGTGCTCTTTTTATTCAAAAGAGAAGTTAAAGTTTTAAAATTTAATTATATGCTAAAAAATAAAAATCTTTGTGAAAATTTGAATGACAGAATAATTATGAGAGAAACAAAAACAAACAGAAAGCCTAAAGAGTAATGAAATAAATATAAAACGACTATCTACACGGAAAACAATTAAATGAAAATATTCTTTGATTAAAAGCAAGTTATTATCTTAACATACTATATTAATAATCATGTTCTTAAGACTATCTTATTCAAGCGAGGGATGACATGCCCCACAGGGGTGCTTCACCTATCCACTAATTTTGGGATTTTTGTAAGATAGTATACAACATAAAACCATTAACAATTCTTATGAAGCGTGTTAATAAAGTTCGTGACGCTCTTGGCATTTATCAAAAAAAAGAAGATACGAAGGTACGATTAAGTAAGTAACATATTTTTAATATTTTTGTTCTGAGAAATGCTTATTACTGATAGATAAGGCGCTTTGATTAGCCAAGTGAAGCTTACAAGTCGCATTCACTATCACTTCCGCTGCCCAGATCGCCAGTTGCAATGTTTTATGAGTGAATTACGTTTCCAATAATGCTCTGGTTTTATTGAATGCATTTTTAAATTAACAACATTTTGTTTCTTTTTTTTTAATTTTAAAAACATGTTTTCTCTAATTTATACAAAGTTGTTATGTCCTAATTAATTCAGATTTTTTAAAATCACATCCCATTTTCTGGTTTTTTCTTTGGGTGTAACTAGTATATTGTAGCTCAAATGCGTCAAGATTACCGCAGTAAGAAATAAAGCAAGTCATAAGGCAAGCGGGCCAAGCCACAAAGGAGAGTAGAAAACCGAAAGTAAAAGTGCAAATACCAAATAGCCAAAAAATATTCGAGTACACGTAAAAAGTGTACTCAACAAGCACAGGGGCTCAAGCAGGCCATATAGAAGGGATCTTAAATAATCCAAAAAAGTCAAATGTTCATTTTTAAGAATTCTTTCTAGTCCTGTCAACTTTTAATTTATTTAAATTGCATATTGGTAAATAAACACTTTTTGAAACAATTTTGGCCGTTTTAAGATTACATTTTTCAGAATTCTTTCTAGTTTTGTCAACTTTTAATTAAATTAAATTGCATATTTGTAAATAATATCGTTTTAAAACAGTTCTGACTCGTTGAGAGATATTAACTTGGAATCCTTCAAAATAAAAATAAACAGAAGTTCATGCTTAAAAGCAACTTATCAATTTGTTCAACTGCTAGTATTGTAAATACATTTTTTTGAATTCTTTCCTTTGTTCAAATAAAAAGAAACTGATAAAAAGGCGCACCCATTTGCCCACTAAGTGGAAAACGTAAATATTTTTAAAATAATAACTTAAATTTATTAAATATCTGTAATGGAAATCACTTATTCTAATATGTTTTTTTTTAAAGGTGCACTGCCTATGCGCGTAGTGCTTTAAAGGATTTAGCTTCTTCTTTTGAGGCTACCCCCAACTTAAGTTTCCTCGGGGGGTCTAAGCCCCTCCCGAATCCCTTGCGTAAGCCCCTGGCCCAAAACAGACACATACGCGTAAGTACCGCAGACAGATATGTGTACAAATGTAAGTCTGTAGGTTGTACATATAAGTATGTACATGAGAAGACTTACCCACACTGCGTATGGGAATGCTCTTTGCATGTCCTTATTTCCTCCGTTGCCAGGACAACTGAGGAGGGTCCGGTGGGAGGCGGGGGAACGAGGCTTTCGATTCTAGGGTGTTGCTGGTGCGGCTAAGGTAAGCGTGCGACTCTCGTTTCGCAGGTGTGGCAGTCTATAAATCCACTTCCTATTGCTTTTGTGCGACTTTGTGCGGCGGCAGGCGTTACATTTCAACCATGGAAATCGTCTTATTTGTGCTGTAATTCACATCAAAATGCACACGACGACAGTACAGTGAGAGCGAGCGAGACGGCGATGTGCGGCGGCGGAAAATCGGACTGCACTTGGATAAACTGGCATTACATCGAGTGTTTTGGTTTCAGTCTGCCGCTGGCCAATCATTCGGACAATAGTTAAACAATTGCACGGCCCGTTTTCACCATTGGCGTCGTTAGTTTTTGTGCGGGGCAAACATTTATCGCAAAAAAACAAAAAACAAAATCGGCGACTGACCGTGCGAGGAAAACGCTGAAATACCATGCTAGAGGGCATAACAGAAAATACCACAGTTCGTTTAAAAATACTAAAATAAACATTGTGACGTCATTATTAATAATTTAATTTTAAAATAACAATATAATTGAATAAACTGCTTTATTAACAAACAGCAAATAAGTCTATAACATATTATTATATTTTATTTAAACTATTTTGCCAGTTTCTTTTTTTTCCGAAAACTTGTTGAAAACCCAAAAAACACAAGAAAGATAAGTCCTTTAGCTTTTTACGACCTTCACGGACCTTTTAAGTCCAATTTGTAAAAAAATAGTAACATCATTTAGTGTAGTTTTTAACAAATCTTTTATTTGTTTCTAGATCAGAAGAAGCCTCTAAATGGTTACTGTTACTGGTTATTACATTCACCAATTTTTATAAGGATGAAGTCCAGTTTAGTCGCTTGGATAAGGAACTTGACGCCCACCCATAGCACTCCTGTATCCGTACTCGTCTGGAGTGCTGACTGTTGTGATACTAGGATCGACTTGAGGTCGGGCCAAAACAGCGACCATCAAGCCAAATAAGAAAATCTGAAGAGTAAAGTAAGCCTTATTAGTAAACTTTTAAGAAACAATTAAATTAAATATTTTGAGAATTATTTAATTTTAATTCAAGAAACATTCAAATTTTGTGAACCTCCACATTTTTTTTTTAACAAATATTTAAATGTAAAACATGACTTATTTACACGTATATCAATCTATGTTTTCTAACTATTTCGCGTACTCACCAGTACTATTATGTGGATTTGCATTTTATAACTAAACCTTATCTCGAAATTCCACTCTTTTTATACCCAGCCACAGATGAATGAAAATAAAATGCTAATCAATGCCGGATGTAAGGGACAGCAGAAAAATAAAAAAATAAAAACAAAACTGTGGACAGCAGTACACGTAGTGACGAAAAATTTCTATTTGGTGCTAATGAGAATATTTTATCAAGTATTTTTATTTAGTCGAATATTAGAACTTTTGTATGTAGATAGGTCGTGACTTTTTTTTTACCTCGGGATTATTATTAAATTTTTTTGTTTTATACATAATTAAAATATAACATCAAGATGTACATTTTTAAAAGATTATTTCCTTCTTCTATCATTACCTTCTTACATCATTAAAAACTGCTACAGGTGGAAAATATGAAGAGACCATTTTCTAAGCCATTACCAATTGCGGACCGAGAATAATTATTTATTTAGGCCAGTTCATAAAGATGTATTCACTCCTAGCCCAACCAAGGAGGATTACACCAATTGCACGGCTTTTTAATGAACTTGCCTAGACGGCTGCTTAAGGAAGCAACTATCATTGCAAAGAGGAAAATCTAAGGATAAAAGCAACACATTATTACTATGCCTTTATTTTAACCGGTTTGCTCACTTACCACTAGTACTATATGATTTTTCATTTTGGGACTGCATTATATTTCGTGGTTTTGCTCCTTTTATACCCAAACCTTAAATTTTACATCAAATTCAGTATCGACTTTGAAATACCTATGAAACGAAATGGAATCTTTTCTTTCTGATTTGGAAATTTTATATTTTTTTTTCAATATTTTAAGCACTTACGATTTTTAGAAGATACCTAATATTTTTATTGTATTTTAAGTTTGAATAAACATGAATAATAAATAAAAACAGTCCCCAAAATAACTACTCTTTTTTAAATAGAATTACCCTGTAGTAAAAGCAAAAAAATAGTTTATAAAATTTTAAGATAAAACAAAAAAAAATGTTAATCAAATCAAAACGAAAGTAATTGAGGAATGTGTACTAAAAGATTAGAAAATAGGAGAGAACGCTATAGTCGAGTATTTCGACTATCAGATACCCGTTGCTCAGCTAAAGAAAGTACGATGCAGCAAAACGTCTGCTTTGTGGCCCTTCCATTATTTGCTGATAACTTTTAAATGAATAGTGCGATTTGACACCAAATTTTAATTTCACTAAAACAAAATCTTTAAAAATTTTGGCGCCAGACACATTTTAAGGTCATTGAAGGCGATTGTGGGCGTTAGAGTCATTGATATACCCATTTTGCTCTACGATTAATGGTATTACAAAATGTTAAAAGGACTGTGACAGCGGGAAATCCCTCAAATAACTATTTTATAACAAAATGGAAACCATTAAAAAGACCCAAAAAAATTTTCAAGGTTTTTGTACGATTGATTTGAAGAATAAAATGTACTGCGAGACAATTGACTCCTAGTTTCCAAAGTCACCTTCACGTATGCTGATACTTTCTATAATAAATATTTGTACATAATTTTGATAAGGTTTCGTTTTGCTCCGCTCTCCGATTTCGTCCAAACTTTACATATCCACGTTAGCGGAAATTTTATTTTCCTGGAAAATAACGGTGGAGGACGGATCTAAACAGAAGTTCACCCAAAAGTTTAAATTCAACATATACATCTATATTTTTATAAGAAATTTTCCTTGTTTTTATTGTGCTGCCAATTAAGGACTGGTTTTTGGTGGATAATTTAAAGAGACCAGTTTAGTTAAGTTATAGGATATTTCCGGCTTATCCCCCTTGAGTGGGATCTTTACCACACGTAGCGCATCCATTTCCGGAATTGCCTGAATTGCCATCAGGTCTGCCTAAGGAAGCGACTATCAAGGCAAGGAGAAAAATCTAAGGGGAAAACCAAACAATGTTTAGAATGCCGTTTTTACCGATTAGCTTTCTTACCAGTTGTACTAGGTGCACTTGCATTTTGGAACTAAAGTTCTTTGCGAACATTGGCTCTTTTTATACCCAAGCCACAAAAACAAAAATGATTTTAATGGCGCTCTGAAGAATGAATCTTATCAAGGCCGTATGTGTACTGAAGCAACAAAACAAGCGTTCCATGGAAATATTTTGGTAATTATTTATATTAATAGACGAGGCGATCTTGCTTTGACCATTGACACTTGATCAATTTGTTTTTAATCTCAAATTTAAAAAACAATTTTAACATCACGAAACAAAAGAGAAATAATTTTAAAGCCCCAACCAAATACTTTAAAAATGTATAAATATGTATATGTTATATTATCTTCTTGTTATATTAAATCCCAATGTTTATACAACAATTCAAGTGGTGGTGTATTGCAAATGCACAGGTTTTTGGTTTATTTAAAGACCAGTAATATACACAATCATATTTAGTTTGAAAGAATCATGCCCAACTTTTGAAAACTGGGCCGATTGGTTCGTGAATTGACTTGGCGGATATGCGTAGTCGACTGGGCGATTGAATTGTAAATTGATCTAATGATTTGTACATTAAGTTAGTAGCCTACTCAATTAACATAATAACATGGGCCTAAGCCAAGGGTTTTGGGCTCTAGCACTCGCAGAAACTGCTGTTCAATCGAATCACTAAAATATATAATATATATACACGCTTCTGTGCAACAGATCGTCGAGATCCATTGCGTGGCTAGTTGGTTTTGGGGCCCTAGTCCCCCATGTAGACGAAGTCCTCGTCCTGACCGTCGTCATTCTGGCGCACGGCCATTGCAGTTTCCACTAGATAATAGAGACACTTGTACTTGTCACGCTCCTCTCGACTGGAACCTGTAGGGGATTGTTATTAATATCTGCTTATCAGTGGGCTAAATATAAACTACTTACTCTGCGTCGGCGGCGAGGACTGATTCTGACTAGTTTCCGTCTCGTTGCTGGTAAATACATCTTCAGCCTGTAGATTATCACCAATTTCCTGTTGATTGGAGCTAGTCGGCAAAATGGTCTCGAAATTCGAGGTCTCTAGCAACTCATTATTGGCGGCTGGCAGCTGTTGGTTGCCTTTAGGAGTTAAAAATATAATTAAATTGGGGTCTGTAGAGTGGAAATACAACTTGCCCTCACGCTTGGCAATCTGCTGGTTGGAATTCCAGAAGGCAGCATTCTTGGCAGATCCCTTGGAGCCAGAAGTACTTGGATTGTTGCCAGCCGAAGTGGTAACTTCCTCGGTGCTGAAAACGGTTCTGCAACAGGAGAATTCCAGATTACAGCAGGAAGGGTATATCCTTTCCAACTACTCACTTCATCACACTCTGCCAATCATCGGAGGTCTCGAAACGCACTTCCTCCTCGCTGTTCTGCTCACAGGACTCGTAGCCCTGGCCGCTCTCTTCGCCTTCAGACCTGGGAATTAAATGGATATTTTAGTATCGCATTACGTAAGTATTAAAAAAAAAGCTTAGGTAATAGATCGGTTAGTGGAAGCGTCTGTTCTACCTAGGAGCCACCACGAAGCTGCCGAATTCGTCTTGATAGCAGTATACTGTCTCCGGTTCTTCCACCGCCTGCGGCTTCGCTTGCTTGCTCTTCTCTGCCAGTCTTCCCGCAGCCTGCCGCTTTTTTCCGCGCTTCGGGGGACTCGGCTTGGTCTCCTCATCATCGAACTCCGGCGGCAATTGATTAAACAGGCTGTACGGCAGTATAGAGGCGGAGGCGGCGGCGGAACTGGAGCTTTCAGCGCTGCTGGAGCTGACCGAAGAAGCACCTCCGATGGCCGCCGCCTTGCGCATCTGATAGTTTTGGATCTTATCTATCATGGTGGCTTGCAACGAGGAGTGAAGACTTTGGAAGCCCATCGGGTTGTTGGCAATGGCCTGCTGCCAACTGGGTGGCGCAGGAGGAGGATTAGGGGGATAGGTGGGAGATGTGACTACGACTAAAGGAAAAAGAGTGAATGGTATTTACCTGTAGATAACGCTGTCGTCGTACTCCGGCTCCATCTTGACCATCTGCCCGTTGGGTCCCTGCACATACTGTTCAAAGTTTGTTAGAACATTGGCGATGCCCTCGTGGATCTCGCCGGCCCCATCCACTTCCTCGGTGGCTCCAACGACCTGTAAAAAAGGAGCTTAATACCTTAAAGATCAGAATCTCAGACAGGCAAACTACTAACCACTTCGGAGGCGGGACTGCCGTGTATGGGATTCAGGCCCAACGCACTGGATCCCGAGGAATTCGGACTGACCTTCTTGCCGCGTCGCGAGATCGTAAAATGCAGCGGATCGTTGCCCTCGCGTCGTATCATCTCGGGCAGGATTCGGCGACGGGCGTTGATGAACCAGTTGCACACCTGCAGCACCGTGAGATTGGCCTCCTGCGAGAGGGTGAACTTCTCGGCATCGCTGGGATAGGCATTGTACCGGTGCTCGTAGAGCCAGCGCTTCAAGATCTTCACCGAGTGCTTGGGCAAATTGCCGCGGCGCTTGCGCAGCGAGCCATTGATGTCGATGTGGTGATCCGTGTCCACCATCATGTCGTGGTAATTCTGCACCTCGCTGCCATCGCCGCCGGCGCCCTGTTCGTGGGTCAGGTGGTCCTCCTCCACGATGCCGTCGGCGGAGAGGGTCTCTATCACGGCCATGGAGTCGTCGGCGTGGAGGGAGTCATCTTGGTCCAAGCTGGAGACGGAATGGAAGCGGCCTGCAACTGAAATGGTTAATTAGCAATATAATTATAATAATTAATAATTAATTAATTAACCTTCGCTCTCCAGCAGGCTCGCCTGGACATGCGCCTCGTGCATCATGTCCTGGATATTCTGGCGTACATGGCGATCCAGCACCAAGTCAACCTCTTCTTGTTCCGGCGAGATCATTGCAGCTTATGCTTCAGCCTTCAAAAAAAACGAAGAAAAAAGAAAATCCATTTCAAAAGGACCACCGAAAAATGAATAAAACTGATTGAAAACGCTTAATTACTTAGTATGATTTTTGATTTTTGTATAAAATTTGACTTTTTTCAATCTGTTCAAGCTGAAAACTGTTCGTGTTGTCACCACGGGCCAAGAGATTAAACTAACTTTTTCCGAAGGCAGGCAAATCCTTCAGACACCAAAGTCATGGCCATCTAGGGTTCGAAAACAGATTTTAAATTTCGATTTTAAATCGGTTACTTTCTGATTGGCCTACTAGTTTTTATCACTAAATGTGTATTTTTATATGCACTATTTTTTCAAAAAATACTTAACAGCCCCTTTTAAACTACAATTAAGTAAATTAATATTTAATGAATATTTAAATTTAAAACAAGTTGGTTCACTATCGATAACTATCGCACTGGTATCGCTTTGGGACACGAGAGACCGTGACATATAACATGTCAAATTGACACTTTAGCCGAATTATTTTGACTGGGCGCGTAAATAACGGGCATCTTGAGCACCCGGGGATTCACCTGCAGTATCCGAACATTTGCCACTGGCATTTAATTGCACTTAACACTTGATTCGCGATTTTCGGGAGTCTCAGCCCTCGGCACCCCGATCCAGATGAGGATTGGGGTGATGGGATGACGGGGCAGTTCGTCAGAACCCTTGGGTTTCAGGCATTTCGACGGGAACTTTTCGGGGGCTGCAGGACTAAACGGGACCGTGGGGATAGCAATTTCCACACGGTTTTCCAAAAGTTTTCTTCGTTTTTCCTCTGCGTGCCAAAACAACAACAGTACTAGGGACGAACAAAATCCGATAGGCGCTCAGGTGCGATAAATCAGTGATGGGAGCTCATTTGGATGAATATCGAGGCACTGGTTCCGAAATTAACCGGAGTTCAAATTCGAATATTGGCGCAATTTTTATATCTAAAATATTTATTTTACAACCTTTACTTTTAAAATTGGCCAAAAGTATGTATTAAAATTGGTCAGCAGAGTAACGGGTATCTCACATTCGGCACTACCGACATTTTTAAATTCTATGTTCTCCGTAACTTTGTTTTTATTATTATTCGTTTGCTAATAAATTTTCTAAAATGTTAATAAGTGGCTAGTAGATAGTAGTTTCCATTTTGGGTTGTTTCCTTAGTTTTCTGTTGATTTTTCGGAAATTAACAATACAACAATTTAGGAAAACCCAGACTATGTGTACATAAACATTTTAATTCGAAAATTAAACTTCGACAAAAACAACAAGTTTATAATCTCTAGAATAAAGTACTTAAAAGGTTTTTAATATTAAACGCCATGGGTTGATAACGAATTTGAAATATACATACTTTTCTCTTATTTCTGCTGCCGAATCACATTTCGCTATCGCCACAGCTTCCGATCAAATAAATTACAATTCAGTTGGTGCGGTCATCAGACGAAGGAGGTTTGATTCTGTATTTACAAATAAGCTAATAAACATTTCAATGCCTATCCTTAATAAAATTTATAATATACATTCAGATTTCGCGATATAAGTGTTAGCAGTGCAAACAATTTTAAAAAATTAAAAAATATTACAATTTTATTTATTCTCTTTTTCTCCCTTATGGATTTTTTGGTGCCCAGTAAATTCATAATCACGGGTCAAGGACTCATTTCGACCCTATAAACATTTAAATATAAAATAGTAATAATATAATATCAAATAAAAACACCTCTTAACGAGGTAAAAAACTAGTGACGACCGCACCTTCAACATACAAAAGTTCTGATATCAACATTTGTGACGAAAAATTATTACACTCGTCATTAAATAGACTTTCTAATCTTTTCTCATTCGGCCCGCCCTAGCAAACTATTCCAGCCTTTTTCCCTTTACAGGCATTTTCTATTGCAGCGTGACGAATGAGAAAAGATTAGAAAGTCTATTTAATGACGAGTGTAATAATTTTTCGTCACAAATGTTGATATCAGAATACAACTAAAACATTGCGAGGGGGCATTTATCCCCACCGGCCCCAACAGCTCCAAATTTCGAAATTTTCACTTTTTCACTTTCACTGCTCTCTCTCCCAAGCCAATTGATTTTCTTAAAGTCTTGGTATGCAATTCTTTAAGTTTTTGCAATACCTTTCGATTGGTGTATTACTCATTACGATCGGACTATCACAGCAGATTTTCAATTTTGCGGCTATATAATAGTAGTCGCCTTCGCACACTCTCCTGGTGCGCTTCGTCACTACATGTACTGCCGTCCATAGTGATAAATTCCCGAAAAGCATCACTATAGAATTTTTGAGAACTTTCGATGTTTAAGTATGTACATTGTACATAAAAGACTCCAATAGGTCTCATGGGACCGATTAAAATAAATTAAAAAAATGTATTCGCAAATGCAAATGCTGATAATATAGATTTCTTAAGAAATGTGCGTCATAGAAAAATATTTTTTTGTAGTTTCCAGTATACAAAAGAAGTTTCCGGACCCCGTGAAAATGACGAAAACCATTTGTTACATGCAGCTGAGATCTTTTGGCTTGGCTGTCGGTTGGTTGGAGCTGATTTTATTCATAACATTAACGTTTATTTATGGGGAAAACTTATTACGTTATGGACTTGATAAACATGAATATAAATATCACTTTGTTTATGGAACTGGTAAGATATAAATGATAATTAAGTGCAGCCGCCGGATATAAAATTTCATTTCAGGACTCAACATGGGCGATTGTTTTTTCTTCGCACTTGCTTTAATTAATACTCTGACCTCATTCCTGCTGATCCTTGGTATTAAAAAGGTAAATAACAAAATTACTAGGATATTTCACTATGAGTGAAACGTCATCCATACTAAAGGGTATATTGAATTCAAATTCTCGAATGGCCACAAGAAGCAAAAGTTTTGTGGCGAGAACATTTTCTAAGATTTTTTACCGTTTAAATTGAAAATAATATTTGGTTTTCTAACATATTAACAAGTTTTTACACATTTTTATATTTATAGGGGCGATTTCTGCTTTTGGTTATCTGGCTAATCAACAGAGGAATCTCCCTCTTGGGTTATTTCATTATTTCAAGCTTAGAGTTTACAAAGTTTATAATGTCAAACGACGACGTCCACTATAATGCCTCCTGTGCCATCCTGCAATCTCAGGCCCTAATTCGTGAGTTTTTATCTCATACTTTGAAATTCCAAAGATAAATTTATTTCCAACTTTTTTATATTGTCGCATTTTAGTATTCAACTGTTTTCTTGTTTACGGGATCTACTGGCTTTTAAAGGAAATCAAGGACTCAAATGACCAACAGCATCGTTTGGACACACCAGTTTTCTCAGTGTCGCAGGAATCTCGTCCAAGCAAATTGGATTTTAATGCTTACGTTCATCAATACAAATTCCAACCATCTTTGTTTGGAAAAGATTTTCCCGATAATGAAGACACTGATAAACTATTGGAAGGATCATAATTAGCTGGATCTTTTAAGCGAGCACAACATACATATTTTACATTTTAAATACTGACAAAAAAAAACTTATTCCGCGACAAGAAATGGTTTATCAGTGGTCGAAAATATTTGAAAACTATATTTTCTCACACTATATTTACTTTAGTTACGCGGAACTGTTGAATTTTCAACAATTTACCAATTAAACAATAAATAAAAACATAGAATTCGACAATGATCTTTGACAAACTCAACAAATTTATAATCTTTACAATAAGCAAGTTAATAAGTTTTTAGTATTAGGCGCCGTTGGCTGATGGCAAATTCAAAATATACATTATTAAAAACATACAAATGTATATGTACATCTTTCTTATTTCTGCTGCCGAATCACATTCCGCAATAGCCACACATAAGTTGCAAATCAGTTGTGCGTGGCCATCAGGCAAAATAGGTTTTGATTCTTTCTTTATTTAGAAGGGATAAAACAACCCCAGTTGTGTTTAAATTTTGACAAAAGCCTAGCATTTTGATCTCTTCGTGCAATATCGGTCGGTAAATAGGAATATCAATTAATATTGATATTAAAAACAATAAAAATTTTTTAGAACCGTAGAGAAGTTTCCTGAAAAAATGACGAAAACCATTGGTTGCATGAAGCTAAAAACGTTTGGCTTGGCTGTCGGTTGGCTGGAACTGATTTTATTCATTATAACAACGATTTATTTGGCCTTTATTTTGTTATTTTCTAAACCAAATCCGAAGGATTTCGCTGGTAATATATAATTGATTTATAAAGTGCAGATGAATGTCAATAAAATTATTTATTTTTCTGTAATCGTCGCAGTTATTATTTATTACCTCACGCTTAGTGTAATTAATATTCTGACTTCGTCCATGCTGATCTTTGGTACATTAAAGGTAAGTCAAATATTTATTAATGAGCTTAATTTGTAAATAAATTTTGCGCCAATTTTCACAAAATTGTTAAAATTGTTTCACAAATTTTAATTTGTTTCACAGGCGTAAAGAGACTAGAGTAAAAGAAAGTTTACAAAAACTTTTATATTTTCAGTGCTGCTATCTGCTTTTGGTTCCTTGGCTGATCAACAGAGCAATCTCCCTTTTGTGGACTTACATTACTACCAGATTAACGTTGATGGTCATAATGGACAGTGTCTCCCTCCCATTTATCATTTTAGTCACCCTTTTATGCCTGGCGTTTACCAGTGAGTTTGTCTACCATACCCAGGTATTCCGATGATATATTTTTATATTTGTAATTTCAGCATTCAACTGTATTCTGTTTTATGGAATCTACTCGCTTTTAAGGGAAATCAAGGCCTCAAAAGACCTTCAGCGTTTGGATGCACCAGTTTTGACAGGCGTGTCATAAATCTTGACTTACATTCATCAATACAAATCTTCTTTTGGAACACATTTACTCGGAAGCACTAATATTTTTATTGAAAAACTATTATTAACTTAATCTTTAAATTCTAAAATTTAAACTTTGACATCTGCTGTGTAACTTGCTTCAGAAACTTAGAGCACTTAGTTCATTCAAAGTCATAAATTAAAGAATCGTTATCTTTATTTATAATCCGAATTTTCATTCTTATCGATACTAGAAACATCTAGACAACGAAAATCAGCGGAAATATGTATTAAACTGAAACGGTTGTTGTGTTGATAAAACATCTTATGTATTTTTAGAAATTAATATATAAGTTAAATAAACAATTTGTTTAACAAACTATTTGAAAACCATAAATATATATATATTGTAGATGCACAAACTAGTACACACAAAAAAATTTGCTTGGTAAAATTGACCAACAAAGATAGTTACGTAACTATTAAAATAGTTACTTGTATTTTGTTTTTGCTTTGGGTTTGTGTCTTTGCTAATTGTGTGTATTTTGTTGTGGTGAAATGACTATTTACTTAGTAGAATTGACGATTTTGCTGGTTGGGGCCTGTTTGACAATTATTACAGTTGATTTTACCAAGTTTTTTTTTGTGTGTAGGCCAAACCGGAAAGAACCGATTTATAGTCGAAATCTAAAACCCTAAATGGCCTTGACCTTGGTGTCTGAAGGATTTGCCTGCCCTCGGAAAAAGTAAGTTTAATTCTTGGCCCATGGTAAAAACACGAAAAGTTTGCAGCTCCAAAAGATTATAATAGTCTATTTACACTGGGGTGGAGTTATGGAGTTATGGGGTTATTGACATAACCCTGTTTTTTTTACATAGGATGTGTATAGGCAACTAGATGTGGGCAAAAGTGGGGTACTTTTAGGGTCTTTGGTATTTCGGAGTATTTTTTTGTATATTTCGGTATATTTTGTATTTATTTCCTATCGTTGAAGGTCCATCCCTAGTCAAATAAACAACACAAACAACAAACACTAGATGTCATTACTCGATATTTGGAGTTAACCAAGTGGAAACACTTTTTTGGAGTAATCGGGTTATTGGCTCACTCGATAGGTTACCCCACACAGTGTGACTAGACTATAAAGCCTAGTACTCAGTACGACGAAAACTGCTAGCTAAGCATAGGAGTAAGCGAGAGGCAAATAGGTAGCTAACGCCTTTAGCCGGGGACTTTTTTCCACCTCGGTACTCAGTTGAGCTAAGGAAACAGTAAGGAAATACCAAAAAAATACTAGATTTAGCGGATGAATTCCGATGAACGCCTTTAGCCGCGGCCCAAAGAATAAAAAATTTAATCTTTGGCTGTGTTTGTGCAGAACCGGTGTGCCAATAACATATTATAAATGGAAGGAAAACTACAAAAACCAATGGAAAACTGCCTGTAGGAGTTGCTGCAATACATATTGCCATTCCAATAGCGAATTTCAAGCTTGCGACCCAGGTCGGCTCAACGTTTTGTAATATTTTAAAATTGGCGCCAGTTAATTTGTTTGCTGAGAGTAAGACCGTGCTACATGCATTGCGGATGAACTCCGAAAACTTCGGTCACACTAAAAGATTAATATTTTTCGACTAGTAAAACTCTTAGCCGAACTGAGTACTAGGCTTAAAAAGTCAAATTTTATACAAAATCAAAAATCATACTAAATAAATACTACCTAAGTCCCGGATAGTCCCGCCTCCGAAGTGGTAAGTAGTTCTTTTGGCCGATATTGTACTTTTTAACCCATTAACCTGCTTATTTGCAGGCCGTTAAAGGAGGCACCACTTTGTGCCGTTGCATCCGGCGGACGGCAGCTGCTCCTCCTCCATCTGGATCTTACTATCATCCTCTTTCATCCTCCTGTTCGAGCATACGTTTATATATCTATATAAACGTATATTTGTAGGGTAAATTAAAAATTTTTTTAAACCAATATTTTGAAAATACGTTTTAAATTTCCTTTGGTATATTTCAAAAAACCACCAGCGGTCACACGAAAATAGGTATTTGTTTTGATGCTATTTTGTAAATAAAAATGGAATGCGTTTTGGACGAAGAGTTGCTGGCCAATATAAAGTGCAGCGACCAGGAGGATGGCGACGAGGACGACGACAAGATGCAGATGGAGGAGGAGCAGCTGCCGCCGCCCGATCCTACGGCCCGAAGTGGAGCCTCCTTCAACGGCGAGGACTCGGATCCGCTGCAGGAGACCGCTGGCAACTGCCAATTTCCCTGGAACTTTGAGGACGCGGATGTGCTGATTGCGGAGGATCAGCTGGCGGACATGGTGCTCAAAAGGGAGGAGGAGTCTCTCCGGCCACCGGCGCCCAAACGGGGACGTGGACGCCCAGCCTTAAATTCCGGAAACTACACTTCCTCCTCCGGTCAGCAGTGGAGTGTTTCCAGGAATCCCGAGCTTTCTGGCGAGGATCTGCCGCTCCTGGGGCAGCAGGCCTGCGGCAAGGGACCCGCCCGCAGTGTCTCCAACGCCGTCGAGGCCTGGATGCTGCTCTTCGACGACGAAATGCTGAGATCCCTGCTCCGGCATCTCAACGAACAAAAGCGCATGCGGAGAACGGAGCGACCGCTGGACATTGTGGAGCTGCGGGCCTTTCTGGGCCTCAGCTACCTCGGAGGCGTCTTCCGGAATGCCCGGCACAGTGGGCCGCTGGAGGAGCTGTGGACTTTGGAGCTGGGAAATGCCATCTTTCGGGCCTCCATGACGCTCGCCCGCTACGAGAGCATTTGCGAGTGTCTGGCGGGGAATAGCGGCTGGTCCGAGGGCCAGAAGCTGTGGCAGCGTCTCCTGATCAACTGCCGCTCCTACTACGGCTGCAGTAGTTGGCTCTGCCTGGATGAAGCCTCCTCCGCGGTGGCCAAATCCCGCATGAGCCTCTGCTGCGATGCCAGAACCTTGTACATGGTTAATGCGGTGGTGAGCAGGAATCAGCGGTTTCTTGACAAAGATGTGGAGCAACTGATCTGCGACTTCAAGACGACGGGCAGGAATGTCACCCTGGGAGCGAGGCATTTAAATCTGGAACAATGCGAGCAGCTGGCCAAGCGGCAAATCAGCTCTCTGGGAATGCTGGAGGCGGATTCACCTGATTGGCCGCGTCACTGGCCCTGCGAATCATCAGTCTTCAGTGGATCCTCTAAGCTTATACCCCTCGATGGCGAAGCGGTTTTAAGCTGCGGTTTGAGCTCCCAAGTGGATGCCCTGCAGGCCTTTCAGCAGACCTCGCAGGCCTGCCAGCAGTTCCATGAACTCTCGCAGCGTTTTAGCACCGCCAATGCCACGCCTGCTGCTCTGCGAAAGCAGCCGAATCCCTTCCTGCAACTCCTGCACTTTGTGCTCAATGCGGCGGCCGTGAATGCCTGGATTTTGCTGCGACTTTCGCCCAAAGGCGAGGCGGCGATGGAGCAGCGCGACTTCCAGCGGCAGCTGGGACTCTTCCTCACCCAGCAGCGACTGCAGCGACGCCTGCAGCGCAGATCCACGAGCACATCGCTGGTGATGCGGCTGCAGATCTGCGAGATTCTGGGCCAGTCCAGTCAGCGGCTGCTCAGCGAGGCGGCCGGCGAGGCCAAACTAACGCACAGCGTGGGCGTGCTGACGCCGGAGAAGATGAGCCTCCCGCTGGGCGTCAACCTGGCCAGTCGCTATGGCGAGAAGCATCGCAGGTGCAAGCCCTGTGCGCGGAACAAGCGCGGCACCAAATCCCGGACGCGCTGCCAGCAGTGCCTGCAACATCGATGCGGCAATCATCTAATCTCCCGCTGCTACGAGTGCGTGGGAATTCTCCCGGGTCAGGAGTTACCCGAGGGGAACATGAGATAAGACCTTGGACATTAAATAACATTTATTAAAGAGGCAATAGTATACTTAGGGGATGGTGCAAACACACTTTTTCTTGTGCTAAAACTACGATGACAACGGCTTAAGCGATTTAGAACTTGTACTGGAAGGACTTGGGTGCCTTGTACTTGCTGGCCATTCCCGAGGAGTCCAACGGGTCGCTCTGGTCGAGGAACAGACTGAGGAACTGTTCGTTCTGCAGCTCGTTCAGCGGCATCTCAAGCTCACTGCAGGATTTCACGATCTCGGCGCAGGCACGCAGATCCTTGCGCATGTCTAAGGGGGAAAAGGAGTTTATTAAGTGACTAATTAGGAACTAGAGCCCTGCGTGAATCATTGAATTTTTGTTTTATCATAGTATGCTATGAAAGGGCATAGGGGAACAAGCCTGGAAAAACTGCCCCAGGCGATATTGCAAAATTTTAGATGAGGATTGGTAGATAGGAACCTAATCGATAAGAATTCAAATTTTCAAATATTTTGATCCGCTGGTTTACGAGTAATCTGCCGCAACTAAAGAACTTATCACTTGATTTATCTTCCCTTCGGTGGTTCTTGAGAGAACTTTTTTGATGCCAATAATTTTTGTGTTAACCTTCAAGAATGTCAGCCAATCTTTGGATTTTTACCATTCTTATAAGCTAACAAAAATCGCCATTCAAATTTTCAAAAAATTGGTTCAAGACTTTCCAAGTCTGACAACACCGCCAGTTTTTTACAGTTTGTGTGTCCTATAACCATCTACTTCATATAAAATATTCATAATTTTTCGTGTGGTGCAACAGTGTTAAACAAACAAAAAACTGAAGAATTTATTTCTAGAAGGGTAGGAATGGAGTCAATAAAATATATTTGGCTTCTAAATAGTTAGTTCTAAGACCAGAATTATTATCAAAGAGTAAAATTTTTAATATTATGGGTGAAAAGTGGTCCGAATTATAAAATGTTTGGCATGTAAATGTTTGCTTGTAATTGATCGATTGGTGTATTACTCATTACGATCGGACTATCACAGCAGATTTTCAATTTTGCGGCTATATAATAGTAGTCGCCTTCTCACACTCTCCTGGTGCGCTTCGTCACTACATGGACTGCCGTCCATAGTGATTTAATAGGTACCCAGTCCCAGTCTAGTCCCCACAGCTTCGAATTTCATATCCTCCCTGGACAGAGATTTCATAAGAAATCCTTTGAGCATGGATGACCAACAAATACTTTAATTATGTGATTCTAAAGAAATCGCGGTCCAAAGAGGATTACTTAACATGCGATTCTTTCGGCACCATCGTTATTCTAAAAAGCAAGATAGTAATTTTAAAGCTTTAATATGCGGAGCATGATAACAAATTGTTAACAATTTCGCGCAATAACAACGGTGCCGAAATCTCGCATATTAAATAATCCTCTTTGGACCGCGAATTCTTTAGAATCACATAATTAAAGTATTTGTTGGTCATCCATGCTCAAAGGATTTCTTATGAAATCTCTGTCCAGGGAGGATATGAAATTCGAAGCTGTGGGGACTAGACTGGGACTGGGTCCCTATTAAATCAATTACAAGCAAATACATGCCAAACATTTTATAATTCGGACCACTTTTCACCCATAATAATAAAAACGTTACTCTTTGATAATAATTCTGGTCTTAGAACTAACTATTTACAAGCCAAATATATTTTATTGACTCTATTCCTACCCTTCCAGAAATAAATTCTTCAGTTTTTTGTTTATTTAACACTGTTGCACCACTCGAAAAATTATGAATATTTTATATGAAGTAGATGGTTATAGGACACACAAACTGTAAAAAATTGGCGGTGTTGTCAGACTTGGAAAGTCTTGAACCAATTTTTTGAAAATTTTAATCGCGATTTTTGTTAGCTTATAAGAATGGTAAAAATCCAAAGATTGGCTGACATTCTTGAAGGTTAACACAAAAATTATTGTCATCAAAAAAGTTTTCTCAAGAACCACCGAAGGGAAGATACATCAAGTGACATGTTCTTTAGTTGCGGCAGTTTACTCGTAAACCAGCGGATCAAAATATTTGAAAATTGGAATTCTTATCGATTAGGTTCCTATCTACCAATTCTCATCTAAAATTTTGCAATATCGCCTGGGGCAGTTTTCCCAGGCTTGTTCCCCTATGCCCTTACTGATTTGTTTAATTCAATTCAATGTGAAATAAATTAAATGTTTTTCTAATTCATTTCGAATGAATAATTTTGATGAATTTTTTGAATTTGCCAGATTTTTTTTGTGCTTTCTTTTGAGAACAGAAAATGGAAAACTTTTTACAAATCAATGTTAATTGCATAGTAAATAAAATTCTGGCAGATTAATCACAAAATTATTGCCCTTTTTTTAAAAGAAATTGTCATTTGAATTATTTCGGAATTCATGCCACTCATTCATTCAATTCTATTAAACTCAAAACTCTAATTAATTCATTCCTATAAAACAAAAAATTCAAAATAATTCATTGAATCCATTCATGCAGGGCTCTAGAATGAATGAATGATTTTTATAAATTTTTTGAATTTGTAAGTAAAGAAAATTCAGGCAGATTTAATCACAAAATTATGGGCCTTTCTCCTTCAAACGAAAATTATCGTTTGCATTATTTCGGAATGCAAGCCACTCATTCATTTAATTCTATTAAACTCAAAATTCTAATTAATTCATTTATATAAAACAAAAAATACAGGGCTCTAATAGGAATCTACTCTACTCACATTGATAGTTGAAGAGCAGGCTGAGGCATCCAGAGCAGGCGGAACGCTGCTGGTGCTGCAAAAACACCTCTATAAGTCGATGCACGGCATCCACATTGTTGCGGCCGAGGAATGAGGAGCACAAGGGACTGGCTCGCCGCTCCACCAGCTCCTGCAGCTCCTTGTAGTGCTCAAATAATTCCCCCGCCGACTTCTGATCGCAAAACCAATCGCTGGCGAAGCATTGCTTCCACACGCAGGCCACCACGAAGATGTCCTTGTGCTCGCTGTGGATGGCACGCGCCACCTCGAGCAGCGAAACCAGGACAGCCTCGCTCTTCTGGGCCAGAGTCTCCTCGGAAATGGTACGAAAGGCGGTCCTCGCCATCCGCCTGCCCTCCTCCGAGGCCATGCTCACCCCGTAGCCGCGATGCAGGGTCATCAGCGCGACGTCCGCGTTGCCATTGTTCCACAAAGCGATGGCCCGGAAGGGAGCCAGATCGGCGTAGGTCCTGGAGAAGGGGTGCTCCAGCTGGCGGCAGGTGTCCGCCAGTGCCTCCAGCTGCTGCAGCTTCCGCTGGGCACTCAGATACTTCAGGCAGGAGACAAACACCTCATTGGAGGGCAAGAGATTGCAGCGAATGCACTGCCGGATGAGGTAAAGAAAGTCCAGCTTGTTCTTGATCTCCAGCGTGGCCATCAGCAGGTTGTCCAGCTGCGCCTGCGACAGGGATCTGATGTCCAGGCCCAGTTGGGGGGAGCGCAGCGCCTTCAGGTCGCTCATCATGCCCTTGGACATGAGACCCACGTTCTGGCTGAAGCTAGTGGAGCTACTGCCCTCCTTGGCCACATTGCTGTTGGCATCCTTCTCCTGGCCGCTCTTCATCAGGCTGTCGCGCAGCTCCTCCCACTTCTGGGTCTTCCTGGTCACAAGGTCATTGGTGAAGCAGTCGATGGCATCCAGCTGCGTGGACTTCCGCCGCTGGCGCTGCGTCCCGGGAAACAGAAAGGCGGAAATGTAGTTCTGGAACCGCTGCAGACCCTTCGGCGATCCGGGTGCTCCGGCCACCGTGGTGGTGCCGCTGCTCGTCAACCGGGTCAGCATGGCCATGGTTCTGGGGGTCACCTCCGCCGAGTCCTACGCTTCTCTGCACACACGCCTCCTTCGCGTCGCTCTTCGTTTCGGGTTGTATAATTAAAATTGTGTATTTTCTGTGTTTTTTTTTGTTTTCCACAGTGTGACCATCGCTGGTTCGGGAAATTAGCTGAGGGTGCAATTATGGCCTATTCACACTGCCGAGATCTATATAAAGCAGCTGATTGACCTACAAAAGGTAACCATAACTTAAAAAAAAGTTTTTCCAAATGCATTTCTTTAAATATTTTTGAAATAGTAAATAGCAGGGATCTTAAATAATTATTACTGAATCAATAATAATAATAATCAATAACATTCATCTATTTTTTGAACCAAAATATCAAGCACTTAGGATCGACATACGCAAAAACACCATATTGATCCTCTTTGATTTATATTTTTGTAATTTTTATAATATTTTTTTTTAAATAAAAATCAAAAGTAATCATTATTTCTGATCGGAAAAAATAAAACTTAAAAATAATGATTAACAATAATCATAATCATAATAATAATTCGTTTTTTAAATATATGGCGGAACCATGTTTTTTTTGTACCGGTATTAAGTCCTTAATAGAATACAAAACATTTTAATTTAATTTTATCATACTTTTCAAAACCTATTAAATAAATAAATCCATAACACCTTTCCAAAAGAAAGCGATTTATTGACGTACACAAAACTCGCCACCTTTTTCTTAAATCATACAGTTCCTAGGCTAAATATAAAGATCGTGGTTCGTGGTAATCCGTAAGTCCAGCAGTATCAACACACCAGGCGGTAGGAGATGTACCGACCAGCCGTCTCTGAGGACCGAATGATCTTGACCACTTGGCCGCGCTTGAGGCCAAAGTACCGGGCCACCGGATCGCCCGCCTGAATCCTCATCAGCATGTTCTCCTTCAGCTTGTAACGGCTGAGCAGCTCCTGCTTCTCCTCGACGGTCATGACCACGTGCTCCGGGACCAGTTCGTGCTCCGTGATGTTGATCAGCAGCTCGGACTCGAGGAACTGCTCCAGGATGTACTTGGGGGCCATGTCCACGAGGGATTGCTTGGCGGAGGGCGTCATGCCTCCCTGGACCACAACGATGGCCCGGTGGATGTTCTCCTCCTGCATGCGGGTGCAGTACGTCTTGATGGTCTTGATGCCGATCTTCGGTTCCTCCGGAAAGAAGACGAACATCTGATCCGTGGGATCGTCGTTGTGCGCCACTAAAACAATTAAATCCGAGCGAGCGGGCCGCTTTTCGCTGGGTTTGTCGCCGAACATCTCTTTAAATTGCTCCAGCGTCTGGTCCAATTCGTCCTGGGTCACCAGGTAGCCGCGGTCGTGGCTCAGCTGCATGATGGTCTTGCGAATGCGCCACAGCTTGTAGGTTTCCGCCTCGTCGTCCATGGTTATTTTATTTTGCGAAATTAACAATTACAAAATTATAAACACGCGGATGCGAAAGTGTGACTGCAGGTGGTTGCGGCGAAAAATACCGAGCAGCTGATATATACTAGTTAAAATACTAAAGAGCGTGTGGTGGTCTCACGTTTAGCGGGTACTTGAACCTGACAATATAACGGTTCATTTGAATCGCAAAATATTTCAAATTGAAAAAACGATTTTTTGGAATAACCATTTTTTCTAAATTATGGATAGTAAAAATTATAATAAATAATAAGTATCAAAAAGTCAATCTAAAGTCTCTTAAAATGGGATAAAAAATAATGAAGTAGACATAAATGTTCGCTCCCAATTTTTCGAGGGGTTTATTTTCTAAAATACTCTTTTTGAACCTAAAACTTCGGTTTTTTGCGATAAAATGTCTTTTGAATTAGATCAATTGAGGTTAATTATTTTTTTAAACCTTATAAACCTGTAATGGCGTTGATTACTACCTATAAATCGCTTTAAGTAAGAATTTAAATTTCACTGGTATTCTAAGTTCCATTTTTTTTGTGGTATTCAGTCATCTTATTCTTTTTGCCACTCATTGTCAATGCGTTCAATATGAGGTATGTGTTCCCCAACGCTCGCGCCGTGTGACCCCGTAATGAACCCAACTCACTTTCCTCGCAATATTTTACGTGCAACATTCAATTACGGCCCAGACGGGAAAATAATATGCTGCGGTGGCATGGCCGCTATTCTTATCCTTTGTCTGCGTGCCGCTCACTAAAAATGCCGTTAATATTTCCCATCCTATTTGCCATTCCCATCCTATTTCCCCCCACCCAAGTGCAATTATTTGGAACATCATCGGGTATGACTTTCGCATCCCATCCGCACGTCGACGACGCACCAACGTCAATGACTGACAGTTTATTTAATAGAAAATTCGCAATGTGTGTGGAGTGCTGTTTTGCGTTTGTTTTCCAAATAGTTTTTCCTCGACGGCCTCATACACCCGCGAACGGCATTGACAAATTGTGCGGAAAATATGCATAATAAATGAAGCCACGCACTTTGAACTTTTGCAGTTATTAAAACCTGAGAGCGTGTGAATTTCTTGCGAAGGGATGACTGTGAATAGAGAACCGAAATTAAAATAAAATTTAAGAAAGTAAGATTTTATTTGTGAATTCATTGACTTAAATCCTCTTTTAGAAATTAATTTATATTTTACAAATGTTTCCACAAATTTGGATTATATTATAATTGGAGTAGTAAAAATAATTAATATCAATTATGTATAATAATAATATATTATTATTTATGGTCGTATAAATTAAGAAAAGCTATTTTCTAAATTTTTTGTGTATCAGAATATGTTAGAAATAAATTCCTTTAATTAAAAATATATTACTAGTTATCATAAAAATTCAAAGTATACTCTTCAAGAAGGGTAGCTTGTTTCCCACAATCACTTAAAACTATCTCAAGCCCCTCGCAAATAGTTTTCCCTGCGAATGCATTCTTTTCCTTATTTGGAATTTATTGGTTTCTGTTGCTCATTCCCAGTTCGATGATATTGAAATTTCCAGCTGCCCATCGCTCCATATGGCCAGACCACATTAAAACCAAGCAGAGTGCAGGATACGCATAGCAAAAACAAAGTTCACAAAGCGACCGAGGGGCAAAGGAAAAAATAAAAAAAAAAACCGAGAATAAAGGGAATCTAATAAAAATCCACTTTGTGCAAGTATGAAAAATGAACGATGAATTGCATTATAAATGCAAAAATATTGTAGGAAGCACGACACCACCGCTGGACAAGAGCGTCAGAAAATCTGATCAAAATTATTGAGGCGCACGGAATGGGTAAGTGGGCGGTGGAGTTGGGGGCGTGGCAGTCACTGCAGCGGAACGTGGCGCACTTGCAAAGTTTTTGCGGCGACGCTAAGCTGTTGATAACGCCGATGATGACGACGCGATAAGCGCGGCGATAATGTTTTGGCTGCCGCCCAGCTCCCACTTCAGGTGAGTTAGGGGAGTAGTGTTGGCAAGAATCGGTAGAGATTTATTTGGGTACACTTCTGGGTACCTAAAGTTAGTACTTATGTACTTACCTAGCTCATGTGCATAAGAATAGGAAAACTATACACGCTTATCCCAACATTATAAACAAAATTGGGAATTTATAATGATGTTACTTACTGGGAAATGCAGTTTTCTGTAATTATTTCAATTTTAAAAACATATGTTTTTTATTTCCATAACTAGTTTTTTAATGCAAGAAATTGTTTCATTTAAAATATCTTTAAAACAAGAAAGGAAGCTACCTTCGGCCAGCCGAAGCTTATATACCCTTGTAGATAAAAGAATACTCACTCGATGCAGTTCCAGGGATTCCAGATTCAACGTTTCGATTTATTTCAATTTTGTTTTTAAGTAGTCAAGAATCAAAACGCCTACTTCCTACAAAGTTACAATGAATTTTCTTATATTTGTTTGGGAGCCTTAAGATATAGTGGTCCGATCCGGCTCGCTACGACATATGTACTACCTGCAATAGAAAGAAGACCTTCGGGAAAGTTTCATCGCGATAGCTTTAAAACTGAGAGACTAGTTCGCATAGAAACGGACAGACGGACAGACGGACAGACGGACAGACGGACAGACGGACATGGCTAGATAGACTCGGCTATTGGTGCTGATCAAGAATATATATACTTTATGTGGTCGGAAACGTCTCCTTCACTGCGTTGCAAACATCTGACTGAAATTATAATACCCTCTACAAGGGTATAATTAGATATTTTTCTTCAAAAATTACGAAAGGTGATTGTATTTTAAGCTAGAATGTTAAAAACATCTAAAAAATATTGAAAGTGATAAAAAAAATAGTACCTATCCCATCACTTGAGGACAGCCAGGTGAGGTCCAATTGGCAAGGACAAAAGCCAGCACATCCTTGTGGCCGCGGTCGTGGCTTGTCGTCCTGTGCGTGCGCTGCATTGGGAAATTCGCTCGAAATGGCATTTATTTTCGGTTTAGCTGATGATGAGCCACGGATAATGGCGCGGGGGATAAAGCTAACGAGCATCGAGGCAGACGAGCAGCGCCGGGAATTTATAATTATTTGCCAGATGACTTTCTGGTACCTATATCACAGCCTCAGTCTGGCCGTTGACATTGAGCCGGGCAAGTCAGACGGCTCCCCATTGAGGAAATTGAAGAAAACATCAAAGATTATTAATACGTATTGCAGAATTAAAATAAAAAGAGTTTTTATTAATATAAAGAAAATTGTAAGCAATTATGTCCTTTAGTTTGAGATTCTTCTTGTACACTTTAAGTTAGGCTATACAAAATATAATTCTTATAAAATAAATTTAAATTTTAAAATCATCTTTTTACTTATTCCAGCAGAAACTTTCTTGAGCTTTTGAGATAAAAGAGAATTTGAGATTAAATATATCTTGGCCCATTTTTAATATAGAGAGAAAGGGTCTGAGAGCGTTATTATTTTCTCGATGTAAGCAACAACGACTTATGAATTATAAGTTCAAAAAACCTGATCAATCGATCAATTCTGTTGATTTTTTCTCAGTGTCGAGCCGAGTTAATTTTAGCTACTAACAATAACAACAATCCTGTCAGCCACTCGAGTTGCCTGGTGTCCTGGTTTTCCTTTGTGCATAAATATGGGAAAAAACCCAGGTTTAGTTTAGGTTAGGGTTCCATTTTATCCGGCGGCTGCAATCTATCGTTAGCAGGCGGCGGCAATCACAGTGGAACCCCCTTCATCCTGACCCGCGCCAATGTCATGCAATTATTTGTATAGGAATTTAAATTGAATGTCAGTCTGTTTGTTTCCATAACATACACACTGGCACTCGCACTCTCGCACTCGCACATTGCTGACAGTTTAAGGAACATGTGGAGGCAGCCCAGCCGGCAGGACGAAAAGGAAATCGAGGAGCAGGACATTGTCGCACATAAGCAGTTCTTCGGTTCCTTCGATGCTCTGCTCCTCGGCTCCTTGTCTGCTGTAAAATTCCAAATTTGTTTTATTTGATTTCTGCGCTGCTTTTGCTTTCCACCAGTTACAGCTCCTGCTGCATATTTCCCTTTATGCAAAATATATGCTATAAATGGCCCCGCCCCCACCGCCTTTATTTGAATATCGTGTCACATGTCGCACGCAGTTAGGTGCCTTCGTTGTTATTGTAATTGTTGTAAATGTCGCCCAGCGACAATATCGCATTTGCATATTTCTGTGCCAGCACACACAGTCGTCCATATAAATATATATACATATATATTTAAGCCCCCATGGTAACCCCTTTACTACCCGAGAGCTCTGTGCATTTTTACTTAATTTTATTTGTATTGGATTTGCGCCGCTGTCTCGGCGAGTCCTGTGTGCATCGCAGCGCGATTTCGGAATTCTGCAATTTGCACAATAAATTTTAATTCAATTTACTGTTAAACTCACCCAGAGACACAACAACTAACTAAATGCGGACGCGGAAGTGCGCATTCTGGCATGACAATCGTCGCAGGATTCAGCTGGGGGTTGCAAGGCGATGCAGCCGGAGATTACCATCCGCCAAGGGCTACAGTGAAGCCATAGCTAGGGGAAAAATACCGGGAAATGATAATCGTGATAACATTAGGGGGTATGCAGAATACCAACTGACTTTTCTATGATTAAACAGAGCTAGAAGTTGTTAAATACTTGCAACAACAATTACAATTTATTAAAGTTATACAATACTTACATATGTAAATATCATTTAAGACTTAAATAACAAAAATTACGTTCAAGTAAAGTTATTTAAAAAACTGTGTACAAAATTATCAAAATTTTTTTATTTAGGAAATATTTTTTACATTTACAATGGAGTAAGTTCATAACTTTCATAATTTCCCACTAAATTGAAATATATTTATTCAGATAAAAAAACTAATAAAAATAAATTATATGAAAAATTCAAAATAAGCAATTTAATTATTTTGGAAAGAAATCTTTACATTAAGGCTTAAAATTGAATAGCCTATAATATAGTTTAGGTATTAATAGTAGTTTTGTATTTGACTTTCATATTTCGCTAAAATAATACTAATTTTTTCAGTTTATATATTTTTTAAAGTTAAAATCCTTAATTAGCTTTATGATTCCATTATAATTTGTGTTAACCGTAGCTAACTACAGAAAATTGTCGCCAGAATCGCAACAATATCCTTTCTCCCGGCTCCCCCAAACCCTTGACCCCTTAAAACACCGAAGGACCTTCATCCTGCGACCGCAGGAGCAATCTGCCGTTAGTTAGAGAACTTTATGTGCTGCAGGACCGCGAAACGGGCTATAAGTTGCGCTTATTATGATAATGGGCGCGCATGTGCAGCCATTTTGATTGGGCTGCGGCAGGATTGTAGTGGCAAAATAGTAAATGCAACGCCAGTTATCAAACGTAAGTGAATTGAATGTGCGCAGCTGCAGGGTTGCAAAGCGCAAACGGAAATGGGAAAGGAAAACGAAAAGGGGTTACGCAATCGCATAAACTAATTTGGAATTCCTGTCAAAAGTGCGAGGCAATTTTCGTTGCCTATTTGTGTTTTGTTTTTCAGTGTATCGGATTTCTTTGCGTTGCTGCCGCTGATGTTGCCAAAGGAATGGAGCCCAAGCAGCAGGATCAGGCCCAAAAACGGGACGATCCTGGCGCGCAGAATGAGCCGCTGACCATAGTGTGAGTGCGTCCTGTGTTCTCCCTCAGGTTTAATTCATGGATACTTTGCAGCCAGTCCATGACATCGTTCTACATCTACAATCCCTACGAGAAGCGCAGTGTGGAGGTGCCTTTAAAGTGAGTTTCAGTTATTTTAAAAAGTTTAATATGACATAATTATGTTTGTATTTATATTTTAAATGAATTTTGAATATTTCTAAGGTATGCACTTTGAATTAATCGCTTTGATTAAAATGGATTTTCCTCTAATTAAATTTATAAGTATATTATATGTAAATATTTAAGGGTTAAAATGACTGTTTTGTTGTCTATTGAAAACCTATTGTTATTTTTTAAATTATAAACAAGAGAGAACGCTATAGTCGGGTTGTTGTCCCGACTATCTAATACCCGTCACTCAGCTAAAGGGAGTGCGAACGCTGTGTCGGGTTGGTGTCCCGACTAATAATCGTAACTCAGCTAAAGGGAGTGCGAGGGAGATAGATATATAATTTTTGATTGCGTATAACTTTTTAATGAATGGTCCGATTTGAAAAATGTCTTCTACATTTCGATAGGTATAAATATACACAACAAAATTGCATTTATACTTCTCGGAAATCTTTAAAGATGTGGGCGCAGGACCCATTTTAAAATCGTTAGTGGGCGATTGTGGGCGTTAGAGGGGGCGTGGCGCTCGGCTAAAATAAACTTGCGCTGCGTAGGAAGCCAAAGAATATGTGGGGGAAATCTCAACCTTCTAGCTTTTGTAGTTTCTGAGATCTCAGCGTTCATACAGACGGACAGACGGACAGACGGACAGACGGACAGACGGACAGACGGACAGACGGACAGACGGACAGACGGACAGACAGACAGACGGACAGACGGACACGGCTAGATCGACTCGGCTAGTGACCCTGATCAAGAATATATATACTTTATGGGGTCGGAAACGCTTCCTTCTAGCTGTTACATACTTTTGCACGAATCTAGTATACCCTTTTACTCTACGAGTAACGGGTATAAAAATACAGGTTAAGTACTGTGCATTAAAACGGAAAGATCTTAAAAAAAACAATATTTTTAGAAATCACGTTTTAATAAATAAATGTTCTTTATAAAATGAATAGCAATTTAAGTAGTTTAAACAAATGACTACCATATATGTATGTGTATTAACAGTAGAATTATATTAAGATATAAATAACCCAATTTGTTAAGATTCAGTTATCTACTTAGATTAAATTTTATTTATTTTTAATTAATTATTTTTATATCCCCTTAAAATCCAGCAACTGCGATGCGTTCATTTCCCTGCTAAAATGTGTGATTGGAACGGGAATCCTGGCGATGCCGCTGGCCTTCCGATGCTCGGGATTCGTGGTGGGTGCCGTGATGTCCCTCCTTCTGATGATCCTACTGACGTACTCCATCCACTTGCTGGTCTGTAAGTGGCTACGTCGAGATGTCCGATCCCTGTTTTAATTTCCTGCAATGACAAACAGATCGCTGGCATGACGGAATGCTGTCGGAGGCGCCAGGTTCCCCAAGTTTCCATGCCCGAGGCGGTGAGAATCGCCTACGAGGAAGGTCCCAAATGGGTCAATTGTTTTGGCCGTGCAGCCGGGGTTTTAACCACCTGTGTTTTGGTCTTCGGACAGTTCCTGTTGTGCACCGTTTACTTGGTTTTCGTGGCCAAGAACTTCAAGGAGATCGGCGATCACTATGGGGAGAAGTACAATGAGCGGTATTATGTTTTGGGCGCCTGTTTGCTGCTCCTACCGCTCTTTATGATCCGCCGACTGAAGTATCTGGTGCCCTTGAACTTGGTCTCTAACTTCCTGCTGTATGCGGGATTTACCTTGATCATGTACTATCTGTTCAGCGGTCTTCCCGATATTAATGATCGTGAGTTGGCCACACCGCCCGTCGAATGGATCGAGTTCTTTGCCATTGCCGCTTTCTCGCTCACAGCCGTGGGTTCGGTGAGCTTAGAAACATTTTGTTAAATATCTATAAAGTTTTAAAGGATCTATTTCCCAGATGCTCGTTGTTGAGGCCCACATGGCGCATCCGCAGAGCTACCTGGGCCTCTTTGGCGTCCTTAACTTGGCTGTTTTCTTCATCCTGCTCTCTAACATGTTCTTCGGCATTATGGGATATTGGCGGTTTGGCGAAGGGGTCCAAGCGAGCATCACCCTCAATATTCCAAAGAACCAAATGTAGGTAAAATTATTACAATTTCATCTTCGGTTTTTAAATTTGCTAAATATTTGTACCTTCATTGAATAACCAATTTCTCTTAGTCAGACATTAATTAAAAAAGTTATTAAAAATATAAAACATCATTTAAAGTTTGAATTAGTTTATGTATCATAAATTTAAAACAAGTAACAAATAGTGCAGGCTTAAATTTAAATTAAACGAATAACCAAAGAACTATTTCCATTTCTAATATAAATCCTCCTTTTAGCCTTTCCCAATTCATTAAGGTATTTATAGCCTCAGGAATATTTCTGAGCTATCCTCTAAACGGTTTTGTAGTGATCACTGTGATCTTCAGTGACTATACAAATTCCAACGAGAGGAGAAAGCACCAAACGTTTATTGAGTATATAGTTCGCCTAACGTTTTTAATCCTCACAGGTGGGTTTTTACACACATTATTTAATTATAATTTATCTAGAAATAATTTCATTTAATTACCCAGGTGCGGTGGCCGTTAGTGTGCCGAATTTAGCGGCTCTTACGGAATTGGAGGGCGCTTTTTCGCTGAGCAACCTGAATCTATTGTGCCCGGCTTTAATCGATGTCTTCCTCAACTATAGCGTGGGATATGGCCGGCTGATGTGGAAACTTATACGCGATATATTGCTCATTCTGATTGGTCTGATTTTCGGAACAGTGGGTTGCACGGTGGCCATAATACAGCTGATCCACGACTTTCGTGCGACGCTTAGCAATATGTAGCGGAAGTCCCCTTTTATTTCGGATTTTTTCTCAGCTTCTGGTGCTCATTGTCGGAAATAAAATCGGATTTTCCAAGTCGGCCGCCTTTGTTCCTTGTTGTTGCGTTTAAGGACCAAATATTTGGTTGCTTGTTCGGTGGCTTTTAATTAATTGCCAGCCAAGTGTTTGCCGGCTGCTGGCTTATCCCCCATTAAGTCGGTTGTCCAAGCTCCGCCGGCCGCCGTCTGCCGTCCGCTTCTGGTTTCTTGTTTGCTCAACGTGGCGTATACTCGACTAGGCGCCCATCAAGTATACGCCACGTTTAATTAGCTAAGCCGAGGCACCGGGCCCGCCGATCATTTAAAACGAAACCAAAGCGGAGAACTGTAATCAAATGCAGCCAGGAGGGAACCACAAGTCCCTGCTTCGTTTGCCTGGTTTGGGGGATTTTAAAATTGAATTCCTTGCCTCAATGGAGCGCAAATACAAAAGGCAAAGTTGCCTAGCTGCCGCACAATAAACTAAAAGACAAATACACAAATACAAATTCCGAGCCAAGAAGAAGAAGAAGCGGTACAAACCCGGCTCCTGCAAATATATATATATATATTTATAAATAAATAGGCACAGGAAAAGCAACTGCCGACGACGGCGACTGTTGACTGCGCCAGTGTAAATAGCACGGCCAGCGATATACAATAAAAAAAATAAATACGAAAAAATAGTCCTGCAGCTCCTCAAGGAACTGCACGAAGGACAAGGAAGACCACTACTGCAGCAAACACACACAAAACACAATTTCCATTCTTCAAATAGAAATACATACAAAAAAGCAGGGAAATAAAATAAAAAGCACACCGAGAGGAGGTGAAGAATAAAACGTTGCGACTGCCAGCGACAGCAGAAAAGGACGATAGGACGAGGATGAGGAGTACGAGTATCCTGGGGCATGATTTTTGCAGACATGTTGCTTAAAACTTAATTTAGAGCGCCGCTTGCACTGGCCTCCCAAAAATAAGGCCCGAAACCGAAAACCAAATCAACGGGAAAATAAAAAACGTCCGGGAAAAATAAGAGAAGGAAAAGCTCACATAGAAAATTTGCCAGCGGCGGCGGCTTCAACTAATTTTCGTATATAATTCCGTGGGCCAGACAGGATGCGGAAGTGGGGTGGTTGGCTGGGTGGCAAGGACTCCTGGACTCCTGCAGCCGGTTTCTTGCCTAGTTGTCAGTGCAGCATCATGTCAGTGTCATTATCAAACAATTCCCAGCCAACTAGGAAAAGCTGGGGAAGAAGAGCCTGCGAAGGCGGCGGAGCACAAGTCCCACATGGTTGGCGGCTAAAATGTCGCTGGCCCCTTCCTCGGAGTCTCAGACAATGCGTGCCACAACTTCATTCCCGACTGTCTCGCTCCGTGTCCCGGCTGTCACATGTCCGCTAGTCGCAGTTGGAGTCGAGTCCTGTCAGGCCAAACTCTCAAATTGAAAAAATTCCCATTTTAATACAATTATTTGTAGGCTAAAAAGAAAGGAAAACGAAGCAGCCCAAGACGACTCCAAGAATGGGCATTGGATATATGTCTTTGGCTGGAGAGGAAATGTGATGGAAGTCCCGTCTTCAAAATGTTTTCTTTCACTTTATAGTCTGATGATGGGAAGTTAGTTTAAATCTTCAGGCATCTAATAAACTAAAATCAAATGATTATTTCATTGAGTTTAAAGTTAGAGTTAATCAATCAATGAACATATCAAGGCAATGATATATTTAAAATTCTTAAATATATTTTTTATTTTTATATAATAGTCTTTTCAATTAGATGCAAGTCCCATCTTTAAAATGTTATCTTTTACAGTCTGATAATGGGTAGTTTGTAAATGCGTGTCTTAGTTATCAGGAAATGGTTTCAGTCCTCAGTCATCTAATAATCTAAAATTAAATGATTATTTCAATGAGATTAAAACCAATCAAATAAACAAATCAAGGCAAAGATAAAAAAAAAGTAAAAATTATTTTTTTTATATGATACACTTATTGCTAAAACAGTTATTTCTCAGAACATGAAATCTCGAAAACTGGTCATTCCTCTTCAGCCAGACACTCGTAAGCATAAAAAATCCATCTGAAGAGCTTCACATTTCTCGGGCTGCGAAATGACTCCTCACAGTTGTTTGCCGAGGATTGACAGGGGCGGAGAGCAAAAAGCAAAAAGCCGGGATAAAAGGGGATCCTGTGGGCCAGATGAAGAGTCCCCCGGAGCACAGGTGAAGGTAACTCCTCGGGTCGAGTGTCTGAGGTCTCGTACTCTCCAAGCGGCTTTGGCACGTTCCATTTGTGCCGCCTAACATTTATTTACTTGGCTGACTGAAATGTCATATTTGCCTTTGGCCCACGTTTACTTCATTCTGATTGTATGTGATTTGCATGCCGACGGTATGGGAAAATTAAACCGCAAAGATAGAAGGAGATAGGTTGGGAATATATCTAGAATAAAGGAAAGAAAGCCAAATTGTCACAGCGGCGAGAGCATCTCAACTATTTACTTATTTATTTCGCATTGAATGAGAGTTTGCCGGAGAATTTTAGCCAAGTTCCCAGTATTTGCAGCGTTCCTTTCCAATTTGAAATGTGCACTGGCCGGTGACGTGGAATAATGCTGGTATGCCAGCCATCTAACCATCTATTCCTCTAAGCGTTCAGCCATCTTTCCTTCCATCCATCCCTCAATCCATCTCTCAATCCATCCATCCAGTCATCCACATCCTTCTGCTGGCATTTGCTTTTGTTTGCGGCATGCGATTTGTAGATTTTTCAACCCAAAACGCTTTGGCAGTGGACACAGCGGCAAATAATGTAAGCCAAGGGGGCGAAGGATATGGAATATAGGATATAGGATATGCAGAGAGAGCGGAGAGATTCCGGACAACTGGTCAACAATGTGCCAGTGCATAAGTTGGCATTATGCAACAAATATGCAACAGAGACGGCTCAGAGCCTCGGGTCACATGACCGCTTGCATGCTAAATTCTTCAAAGGGGGGACGTTTTGCGAATTTTACCCTAGAGGGCCGAAAGAGTTGGCCAAATCACTCAGCACGAGTTTGCTGACCGATTTGCATACTCAAGCAGCCGTCCGGACATCTTCAAGATACAAAGATACAACTTCTTGCCTGCACTTGAAAATGAAATTGATCTGAAATCGGGTGGAATTTATTGTACAAAAATATATTACCCAAAAATATATAGTAACTTTATTAGGAAGTTCCGAGTGTCGAATAAGTTCAATCAGTCCAATTCCATAAAATATTATTATTAGACTTTTTAAAAGCTAAAAGCCAAATATTTTGTAATTATATCAATATTATACAAATATTAAATTCACTTTCTCTTAATTCCCATCACAGTATAAAAACCCCTTTCTTAATGTTTCTTATAAATGAGTTTTGATATAGTAAAATCTAGTGAATAGTTCGTACCTTTAAGATCATATAGGGTAATGAATATTTTTCCAAGTGTAGCCGCCTGCAATCAGTGAGAGTTGCGAGCCGAGTTCCCTTTCCTTTCGAGACTGCTAATTAAGTGTGTGAATTCCTATCGGGCGGGGAGTTGTTGTTTTTCTAATGAACCAACTAATTGCATCTAACGGCAACTGCAAAAGTAATCAAAGTGGCAGGCTCCCAACTGCAAGAGCCCAAGAGCCCAAGAGTCGGCAAATGGGCAATAATAACGAAACTTTGTTCAAGAATTTTTGGAATGTTGCACAAATATGCGCAAGAATGCAGGAAAATATGCTTGGACCAATGCAAACGTGATTGGGTGTTGGAAAGAGATGGCTACCAAAAGGGGGAAAGGAAGCTGCCAGAAAGAGAGGGGTAGATGTGAAAGAGAGAGAGGGGCAGATCGACTGAAGTGGCAGACAGAAGCTCGTTCAAATTGCTGTTGCTGGCTTATATCAATAATTGCCAAAAGCAAATTGGAAAAGTTATGCGCCTGCAGTTAATGCGACCAGCGGAAATAGTCGCAGTCAAAATGGCGCAACAGCCAAACGGAAGTGCCCAAAACACCCACACACACACACTTCAAATAAGAATATCCAAAGTTGTTGACTGTACTTTGGTTATTAGTATTTTAGTTTGGTGAAGAGAACGTCGATTTGAAGATTAAATTTTGTGGGCTTAGGATATTATTGAAATCAAGCTATTGCAAAAAAAATTGTTACATCTATTTAAGATGACTTTAATAATCACCAACTATTATATGGATTTATTTTTTGCTAGTATACCATTTTACCTAAATCATGAACTTATTATTTAGGTAATTAAAGTTTTATAACATTCTGTATTATTAGCCTCGATAATTTAAAAATTCATTAGGCCCTTTAAGAGGTAATTTATGAGGTATTTATACAGAACTCTTTAATTACATATTATTTTAAAATAACAGTATGAATTCTTCGGCTTCGAAAATAACCGCTTTCTCTACCGATTTCTTCTTGTTTTGTTTTTAAAATTTTGTTTTGCAACTTGTGTATTTTTTCCCCTCCGGGCGAGACGAAAACTTGGCTGGCACTCGGGATTTGTTGAAGCAGCTCTTAAGATACTTTCGGTATGCCAATTGGCATTCGGCTTCGATTTGAGTTCTGCTTGGTTTGGCTTGTTACTTTTGGGTTATTCAAACTGCGAACCAACTTGTTCAGGTTGTTGGCCACGGAAACCGCGAATTCTGTTCGGCTCATTGAATTGATATTCGCAATTAAAATGTTTTTCGAGTTCCACTAATGATTGAAAGATGAGCGCTATAAAAGCAGTGGGTTTTTGGCTAGATAGAGCAATAGAAATTGTTAAAATTTATTAAACAAAATGAATCGAGGTCTAGTGCTGCTGGTAGTGCTTAAAGTGCTGGCTTTGGGGGAGGTAACTGAGAGCATGGAAATCGGAGAAGTATAATTAAGTTAAAAGCATCCTCTTTTCAGTCCCGTTTTGCTAAGGTGAATATAAATCTGGGTCTTACTGTGGCTGATGAATCACCCAAGCCGATTACCGAGGATATGATTCGTCTTTGTGGCGATCAAACGGATATATCCCTCAGGGACCTGCATAAACTTCAGCAGGAGGACTTTTCGGATCCCTCGGAATCGATTCAGTGCTTCACCCATTGTCTTTACGAGCAAATGGGTCTCATGCACGATGGCGTCTTTGTGGAGCGAGACTTCTTTGGTTTGCTTTCGGACGTTACTAACTCCGATATTTGGCCCGAACGTCAGTGCCACATGATCCGTGGCAGCAACAAATGCGAAACAGCCTTTAAAATCCACCTGTGCCGGCAGCAGATGAAACAGCAGCAGCAGATCACCTCGGCCGGCAAGGATGTGGAGGTCACCACGCCAATGGAATCCAATGAGCCAATGCCCTAGTGTTTGGCTTAATATATGTTGATTAATATAAATATATATTAATATGTTCGGTGGTGGTATATGGGTAATACGATTTTCAGAAAAATATTACATGAAAATATCTGTTTTATTTCTTCTTTATAATGAAAATGTGATACTATTAAAAATGATATTACGATGGACAATTGAAGGATTTTATCGTACATTGTACATATCGCTAATTTGCTAGAAGATGTCGAAAATAACGATTTTTAGTTAGATATTTCTATATTTTCTTTTTATCTTTTAAACTTAAAGCGGTTTTCTTATAAATGCGTTGAGTTTAAAGAAAAATTTTCAATAAATTGACGTTCAAATTTAGAAACTTTAAATCTGTATAATGTTTCTAAGAAATATATTGATGTATTATATAAAGCCCTTCTTCGATTTCGCAATACCAGAACTCCAGTGTAATTGTATATCCTGCCCGGCAGAACTTCACTTAGCAAATTGAACATCTTGGACATCTCTTGATCCGATGCGGCGTTCGAGATTTCCATATGGCCAAAGTCGGGCACTTGACTCGACTGCCAGCCATTAGCGTTCGGATACCGATTGGGGATTTTCCCGGCTGCTCCTGCGGTTACTTCGCTTTTCCATGGAAATTTTGCCACTTAGTGCGGCAGACGGCGGCAAGAGCATTGTTAACTAAGCGCAGGTCGTGGTGCACACAGATGTGTAAATGACGCTAATGCCAGATCGAAGTTGGGAGTTTGCCTCCGACCACTTAGGACCATCCCCCCTTCCACTTTCCACCCAAACCTGAGAACCATACCATTTTGCCCACTTGTCTGCGATTTCGAGTGCATTTTGTGCGGCAATTATTTTTTGCTCAATACCCTGGAACGCTGCACTTGACTTTAAATTGTCGCCAGATGCTCTGTGACCACCTGAACTCTCGACTCGCCTTTCCCATTTATTTTGCGGTGCCACTCCCCACTTGGCTGCCTTTTAATTTGTTGCCCGCGCCAATTGTTAAGCAAAAGTGGCTAATTTGAAATTCTTTTGAGCGAAGTGCGCACATTTTTGAATGTCAACTTTCCTTCGTCGTCGTCGAGTCGTCTTCCCGAATGCAGCAGCAGTTTTTCCCGCCCTCATTTTCGCGACCAGGGAAAGCGGGAAAGCGTCTGCCTTCGGTGGCTTTGGCTTTCGCTTTGTCTTTGTGTCACGCGGCATGAAATTGAATTTTCGGTCTGCACCGCCAGCAGAAGCGACAAGTGACAAAAGCCCGGCCAATTGTCGGGTGACCTCCAGGGCCCCCCTTCCAAAAATAAAAAAAACACACCCACCACCCATGAAAAACACCCCCTCATCCCCCTTAAGCCTTCAATTATGCCAGCGGCAGAGAACGGGAGGAGCATACCACCGCCATTTTGACACTCATACAGCGTAATTCGAAATGAATGAAAATTTCTTTTTGTCTCCTCTGTCGGTTTTTCAGCTGTTGATGCTCTTGTTTTTCCCGCTTTCTCCTGCCTTTCCCCGCGTTTCCCGGCTTTTGTTGTTCTTGGTTTTTCTGCTCTTGAATTTCAATTTACATAAGTCTCTGTCTTTCCATCTCTTTGTTCGACTTTCATCTTAACTTTTGCCTACTTTTATTTCTTGCTGGCTTCTCGAGTTTGGCGGAGTCGCTGTTTTTGTGGTTAAATGCAAATTTTATTGAATTTAACTCTTTTTGTGTCTGTCTGGCTGAGCGTTAAAGAGGAAATTGCATAATTATGCCCAATCTTGAGGGCAATCCGCAAATGTGCAATCTACGGGCAAAGAGAAAGAAGATTTCTGGGGTTTTTTTTTGGAAAAAGTGGGAAATGGATACTGTTTTCCTGCTTGTTTCCCCCTTGTGATTGTCCCTAGGCCTTCATTTCATTGCCTTTGAAGGCTTGTTAATTGAGAAAACCTCTCGAATGCAAATCATTGCTCGAAAAAAGCAGAAGATATGCAGAACTACACGAAAGTATTTTACAATGTGTACAATTTACATGGTAAATAATTGGATATCCGCACACATGCGTATTTCTTTCTTTGTAATGCATTGTTATTTTCGCCTTGTTTTTACCTTTTTGGTCATTTGTAATTTGTGCGGTTTTATGTCTGGGCTCTCAGTTCATCTTGAAAATTGATTTCGCTCATCAGACACCGAAACTGATAAAAAGTGCGGATAGTCTGTCAAAAGTGGGTGGAGATGAGATCGGGGTAGCCGAAAAATACATTTATATTGCTACATTTATGCAACATTTCAATCATTAATAAATCAATTAAAATAAATTGGAATTTTGTGCGCTGATGTTGAACATGAAGAGAGTATTTATGCCCTGACATGGAGGAATTTAACTTTACTGGAAATTTAAAAAATTGTATTACCATTTTTGGGTTTACAAATAAATAGAAAACTTTAGTTAAATAAGAACAGCAGTTTGTCTAAAGCCAGTAAACATTAATTAATATTTTTTTTTTATACTTTTAACCATTTTAAAATTATTTGTTTAAATTATATTTTATTGCTCGACATATTTATATCTCTTATATTTAATTAACATTTAAAGTAATTTTCAAGGGTAAGCAACCCTTCGGTCTTTAAAAACCGCAACTTTACTTTCTTGTTTTTGTTTATTCATTCTTTCCTTTCCGTTCTCAACTCCCCTTTCCCACTCTATAAGGCCGCTTCTTGTTCTGCTGTGTGATGGATTCGGTTCCATGCCATTTAATGCAATTACGCAAAGCTTACATTGCCCATTTTTGGGCTCCCGACTCCCCCGCAGCGGCTGATATAAATCAGATATGGAAAAAACGAAGCGAACGACGGAAATTTTTGATGGCAGCCCTGACATTTTTAAGTGACAGTCGCTGGCCATGCAGAGAGCTTAAATTATTCATTTGATTTACGGCAAAAACATAAATTCGGCGCAGCAAGGGCGGCGCACAGCTCCAATGAGCAGCAGTTGCATATTAAAATGCATTTATATCAAATTATGTATCATCTGTCAGACAACTGCCAAGGTGCACGGAGAGAAACGGGGAGATTTTTGTGTTAAATAGTGTTTTATGAAATGTCTATTGAGTTAAAAGTTTAAGAATATACGGTTCGCTTTTAATAGAACTCTTTGAAAAGAGATGTCTGTGACAATTACAAATTTATAAAAAAAAACTTTTACAGGATTTGAACTTGTACTTGTAGGTTTTAAGAACGATTCACACTGCAATTCAAAGAGTATTCCTTCTCTAAAAAATATAAAAATTAAAAATAATTATATTTTTTTCCTGTGTGGGGAGCGCGGTGCGGGGTTAGCTAGGCAATCTCTCTCGGACATGGAACTACTCTCAGCGCCTTACAACTCGGGAGACATGTCGAAAGTTGCGCGACGTCTGTCGTTAGTGGATGTGTTAAGTAGAGAATTGTGAGTAGGTGGGCGGAATCGGGGGTGGGGGCGTGGCAGTGGGCTAAGACGATGGCAAACAGACAGGCGACAAATCCACACCGCAGCTGCAAATAGACTGCAAGAGTGGGAAAGAGGTTGGACATGAGCGTTAAGAGCATTAGACTAAACTTTGCCTTTGCCTTGATATATGTCTGTTTGTGTATGCAATGTCCTAATAGAAAATCCCCCAAAAAATATGGCAATGATGCTAAGTTAGCATGTGACAGGGGGCAAAACGAAAGGGGAACTTGGTCGATTCTACTTACCGACAAGGAAAAAGACTCACATGGCCAAATACTCTTTTGATTAAGAAACTTTATGCCAGAATTTATATTCTCTGTGTAGGGACTTTTAATATAAAGTTAAGTAATTTTAAGGTTCTAAAAGTATAAAGTGAAAAAGATAATCCATTGGACTTCAGGGTTAAAAATTGTAAGGATCAGAATCAGATCCTTAACATAAGGTAAAATGTATAAAAAATTATTTATAGAAACTTATGGTAATAATCACATCATTAACTCTCATAAAAGTCAGGCGGCCATAGCAAAAAGCTTACTTATCATCGCGCTAGCCCATCTGATATTGATAATAATCCGAAACTTTTGAGCTCACTCTTTTTTCAAATTGGTTTTCCGATACTTGGTGTTTTTTTTGCTTTGTTTGTTGTAGGTATTTTCCCAGCCGCCTGCTGTTCGTTGGCCGGGCAGAGAGAAAAGTTTTCCGCCTTCCGCCGGCTGCTGGCAGCTGTTGCGTGTTTTGGACCCAGAACCATCCGCATCACACCAGAATAAAAAAAAAAGGAAAACAAGCACGAACCAACGGGGCAGCAAAAAATTACTCGAGCTTAGAGGCAGTTGCTGTTGTCTGCTCTCAGGCGTTAAAAGAAACCAACAAACCCGAGTTCTAGCCATAAAGGGAGTCAAAGATTTGGCCAAAGATCGATATGCCAGCAAAAAATGTAAATAGAGTTCTCCCCGGATGGGGGAAAAGTTGCGTTGGCCTAAAGTGGGGGGTAGACCACAAAATCTCATCACGTTGTGCAAATACGGCCGCATGCCAGCCAGGCGTTCGAGTGTAGATTAAAAAATAGCCGCAAATAGCTTTGGGCCAGAAAGTAGGGCCGCTTTTCACACTTGAAAATCGATTACGCAGCTGTGATCTGCCACGCCCCCTCCTTTCTGCCCCTCTAAAACATCCAAACGCCTTCGCTCGGCGGTTGGGGCGTGTGTGAAAGTTTTTGTTTTCTTTGTTTTTTTGGCAAATCACGTATTGGCAATTGCTTACACGCTGATTGAGTCCGAAAGCTTAAGGCCTAATTAGGTGGCCCCCAGAGAACGATTCGCTTTCTGCCATTTCATGGCAGTCAAATCAACGGAACTCCAGCTCGAGCATCCCATCGAGAGGTTTCATTTGTCATACGAAAGCTGCACGGAGAAAAATAATTTTCAGATGGGAAAGGTTTTAAGAGGTGTAATTCATATAAAGAATAAAATGCTCAAGAGAAAATTAGCATATTTAAAATGTAATTTGTATTAACATCGATTAAAATATGCCTAGCTATACTTA